ACAAGTGGCAAAAGATCATAAAAATGTGTTTGTCAGATTAACGTCATGTTTATATTTGAGAAAAATGTATTTAATTGATTGTAAAGTAGCTGGAGGTTTCTTTGTTGTGTCAAGACGTTTGTGTAAAGATTTATTGGTTTTTTATCATTTAAATTAGCAATATTTGTCGGAACCTAAGAAATGGCTTTTATGATTTCGATGCAACTTTCGAGGTATGGTTTCTCTGAGGAAAATACTCTGTCGTCTTTTAGATTAAAGCATCGCTTCGCTATGATTATGATTTCAATATTTTTACCGACATGCTAGAGTTCGTCCTTCATTTTAACAATATTCTATTGATGTAGATTTAGAGGTACCTAGTTCCATATATTGTTATCGTCATATTCAAATTCATCTCAATTGCCAAGTCTTCTCAATAGGCTATACTACAATACCAAATAAAAATTAAAAAGGGTTTTCAATGAATACTGCAATGAAAAGTAAATTAAATATCCATTCAATACCCAAAAGCGTACCAAACATAAAGGTGGGGTTATCTTAACTGTGGGAAAATAATAAAACCGTCTTTATTACAATGACGTAGAGACTAATTTTGTTATTTTGGTACGTACGCTCGATGGTACTATCCCTAGTCCCCCAAACTACACAATAGAACAAACATGCAATGTGCAACGGTTCGAAAAGAACTTTCTGGAACATTTTTAAACCGTCTTAAACGGTCCAATCAGCGAATCGCATTCGAATTTTTCGAGAATTGGAGGTCAAGGCCAGACCGGTGATTGGTCGGCAAAGTTTTGTGACCCGGCATAACAGTCATTGTTAACGTTGCGTGCATGAAGTATTAAAATTATTATTTATAAAATATGAGTCGAAGCAACCAGGAGATACGGTTAGTGCACTCTTACTTGGAAAAGTCTACAGAACTTTCTAGATGACGTTTTTAATTAGGTCGATGATTGATGTTTAGATATTAATGGCGATAATGTTGTCATTAACTCAATTTTACGAGTATAAACTTTTTGTCATATGACGGAAAAATATTCGTGTTATGAGAATTTTAAAACAAAGACTAGTAATATTAATTCTAGATCTTATGTGGATAATATACTAAGTGCATTGTTCTCACATGTCGGATTTGTTAAATAATCTAATCTAGAATTGTATCTATAAGTGCCTACTGATAGAAAAGGGAAACTATGGAGTTTAATGTTAATTCCTTTCCATATGCCTGTAGAATTATGTTGTCTAAAGGATGCCATACACGCTAGGTTGTCGCGGAGAACCTAACGGGTAACCGGGGCTCCGGCTCGACGTGCAGGAGAAGGAACGGGGTGGTTTTTAATTAGTAAGAGTCTGACACTCCCTCTCGCTTCACCCAGGCGGGAAAAGTCATTCGATGATTTTCCCTCCTTAAAAAAAAAAATACACGCTAGGTTTTGCATGATGGTTTTAGCCGTGCATGCATAACCGACAGGCAAGCCCTAGCGTGTATGTGATAAGTGATTAAACTGTACAGTTATCGGTGAATCGGTGTTCGGTTATGTTTGTTGGTCTTGCATGCAAAGTTATAACCATCATGCAAACCCTAGCGTGTGTGTACCTGTATTTTTGCAATAGTTTGTCTAATATCAGTAAATAGAAAAATCTGTATGTAAATATTTGGTATATTTACACCCGATGTGTGTACTCTACAATCACTGTTCTATGCTTTTGTATTTACGTGCTCGTGCATGCCTGGTGTACTTACATGATGTGAAGCGTCTATCAAATGGCCTCCTTAACATTTCACTAAGTAAGTACAAGAACAATAATTTTGCCAGCCATCAGGTAAAGAATAGACCCTTCAATTGTTCTTAGAAAGGACGTCTTGGGTCCATAACAAAAAAGACAAAACTCGGTACCCCACCCTCTAAAAGAAAAAAGAAAACCGTTAGGGTTTTAAATGGAAGGAACCCTACTATGCGCCCAATGGTTTTGTTGGACCTTTGTTTTATCCATTAGGTACTTAGAGTATGTTTTTGTGCAGGCCTACTAATATTAAACGGCTGAAATTTGGAACTAGGGTATATTATGGTCTGGATTGGAATAACACAGCCTAATTTTATCCCATGGGGACAAAACAAATAACTAATGAAATGAAATGTAATGAAACCTTTATTTGTGATACATAGGTACATTTGGTTGGACATTTTTAGATTAAAGTGCGCTATGATCAGCCTATTTTAGGCATACAAATACACGTATAAGAGTTTAAACTGTCAAATACCAAGCGGTCACCGGTGACCGCGACCTATTGTTCTTTAATTGTGTCTATAAAACCGGTACTCGACGAGTTAAATCAGTAAGTCCATTAATTAGTTAGGTAATAAATATGAATTTGTCGTGTTTTAATAAATTACATGTCAATATTGTTCGTCAAAAAGTTCGTCAAACTAAATGTACTTCTTATTTCTCTAGACACTCTATACTTTGGTCTTGATAACCTTCAATTGTTAATTGCGATTCTCATATTACTTGCCACACGAAACGTTAATTGAATTTAATCTCACTTGAGGTTAATAAGAAGAAGGTTGGGTGACATTCTTGGAAACTGTACTCATCACCAATTACGTAATAGAAGATGATTAATTTGTTTTCTGTGGTATTATTATTAATCCTTTGTTAGTCAAGAAGACATACAACAAAGGGTGCCTATAATAAGTATAGGGGAAGCAAATACCGAGCACATTATGGTCTTGACTTCTTTTTCTTAGTGTATTGAACACGGAATATAGAATTGTATTCTACCTCTATATTCACTTATATAATATATCTTATATAACACTATATTATGGTGGTATTGAAGTATTGATTGAGATTTTGGATTATCGAAACTTTTAAAATCAGCAAAATAGACTACAATAATGCTTGGTGTATCATCAACAGCCTATAAATGCCCACTGCTAAGCAAAGCCTCTTCTCACACGGAGAAGGTTTGAGCATTGCACTACGCTTGCTCAATGCGGGTTGGTGATTTCAGACTTATAATTAGAGATTATTATGCCCAGGTTTCCTCCCAATGTTTTCCCTCACCGTCCGTCAGTGATGTCTACATAATCTTAGAAAGTATATATAACTCGGAAAAAGTCGCATTAGTACTTGTCTTAACCCTCCTTATATCTTATTGCAATGCCATGCATTAGGCTAATAATAACCAAGCCGACAAAATAATGGGTAGTACTTTAACAATACTTTTGCCAAACTCTTTGAGTGCAACAACAATTCCTAGACAATCTGCTATCAACTTCGACCCCAAACAATAACATTACGGCATGCAATACAGCAATAGTCTACTTTACAAGGTCACGTCCACAATAGACCGGACAGCAATAACACTTATGCCGCGGAAGCAGTGTATCAGACCCTAACTCCCTATTGTCAGTACAATACCAGCAATTTGCTTGATAGGTTTATTGATCAACCTGCTTTTTGTTCAATTAGTTCTACGTTTTAGATTCTAGTGGTGTAATGTCGTTCTAGAACCTTCTAAGAAGTAGAAAAAGAATTTATTGATGATCCAGACGAAAATTTTACTGTAAATAAGGCATTTATTCATTGTTCTTTGGTCTCTATGTAATTATTCATCCAGTGCATAGTGGATAGATTAATATAGTAAATGCGACAATGAGCTTGATTTTAACATGCTTTAAATTACACTTTTTTATTGTTCAAATTATAGAAGAATAGGCATGGACACATGGCATAGGTATCCTGTATCAGTAGATATTGAAATTGGTCGTCGCTAGCTGTTGATTTGATTGTAAATCTATTCTTGTAGGTATTGTTCAATCGTTGGGAAAGAAATCTTTGTTTACTTTGCAAACTGATCTGTTTCCACAACCCAACGTTCCTTCCTTGTTATTATTTATATCCACACTCACTTATACGTTGTTGACATTATCCTGTACTGTCGTAATATTGAACTTTGCTCCGTAAGCGTATAGTGCAACGTTTGTTTACTCATATTCTGCTTATGTTGTTACTTGTTCTGCAAATATGGGCATGTCGTGTAGGTATTGAGTCTTTGTAGTGTCTGTACAAGGCGAGTTATTTAAATTCTTGTGTCTATTTCCATTTGTTTCATAGATTAGTTTGATGTTTGCTTCTGTTTTATTTACCTCTGTAGTTAGGATACCAAAAATATTGAATAATTTGGCTAAAAATAAGTTCATAAAAATTCTGAGTTATTCTGAGATATTTTGAGTAGTTACCTCTCTTTTGTCATCAGGTACTAATGCTTACTCTTTATACTTATCGCTTAGAAAAGAGATTTGTATAGGGTTTATTTCCGACAATTTTTTATACTATTTCATCTATACTATTCTATTTTTAGTCTCTTTCTCTCAAATTGTTTTGAACAAAAGTACCAGAGTAAATGCCCCGTAATCCCGATCCATCCTCTACTAAAAGTTCTTTATATTATCCTATGGAATGTTTTATTTCATCTCCATTATGTTTTGAATGGACTGGTTTATCGCTTCTATAAATTATTTTATTATTGTATTGTATTTGTAATAAAATAATAGTTGTTTTGTAACAGCATGGTGTAGGTTTCATAATAGTAGAAATGCCGTCAATGTGTCCGTCTTTGTTTACATATTTACTTAGAAATAGACATTATACAATACATATATCGTAAGAGATTTCATCTGTACTGTACCTTACCTTACCTTTTGGGCTTATCTTTCTTTATCCGTTTCTTGTTAGGGCAGGCCTAATTTTAATATCATCTTTATCATCATCATCATCATCATCTAACTATTAATGTCCATTGTCCAATGTTGCTCAAAGGCCTCTTCTCACATCATGTTATTCGCTAAGCTAAACTTCAGTTTAATATAAATGTTAATAGGCAAGATGTATGTATGAATAATTTTTATTGATAGCCCTTACTTATAGGTATCTACAAAAATATTGTTTTATATTTTACATCTTTTTGAGTAATTTTCCCACATTTCCAGATGGGTTACGCTCAACTAGAACAAACGGGTCATGGCATCCACTTGAGGCAGTTTTCAAGAGCTTTCGTGTTCGAAGAAGGTAGTGATGAGTCAGCTGAGAGGTTCATCTTTGTGTCTGTTGATGCAGCTATGATGGGACATGGTGTGAGGATAGAGGTGAGTTCCACTAAATTACCAAAAATTGAAATATCAGGTGCTTTATAAAACATATAAGATCCTTTAATAAGGTTTATCCTAAAAATTATATTTTACCTCTAAACCAAAACTTACTTAGCATAATCCACAAATTAGGCATTGTTTTATTATGTGTCGATTAGAAACATTTATCTAAATAAAAGAGGTGAAATTCATTTTTTACATCTTATACATCCATACAAGCTTCCTTGTGCGTACTGCTAAAGAGTGGAATTCTTTGCTAGAGTCTGAATTTCCTGAAGGGTATAGGTTGAAACATCTTAAGGACCTGGAATAGGTTGCTTATGGGACTACGTGCTCCATCGTAGACCGCATCATCGCTTACCACCAGGCGAGATAGTGGTCAAACGTCGCCCCATCAGATATTAAAAAAAATATTGAACCTAAATCTCAAGCATTTCATTATCCATCACCAGGTCATCAAACGTCTTCAGAAGCGGTATGGAGATTTGTACGGGGAGCACAATGTGATAATCAGTGGGACCCACACCCACTCCACTCCTGGAGGTTTCCTTATGGACTTTCTTTTTGACCTTCCCATCCTCGGCTTCGTTAGGGAGACTTATGCTGCTTATATTATTGGTATTTATAAGGTAAGTTTTGTAATGTTCTTAAGTATCATCATCTATTAATGAAATGGTTTCATCTAAGATCTTTAATTGATTATCTGGTGCTATTTAATTAATTACTCTGTAATGTAGAGTAAGTTATACAATCTGTAGCCAATTGCAGAGGTAGAAAAAAATTTCAATCAGATTTGTTTCCATCAAAAAATTCGTTGGAGCAGTTTAATTTACTTTCAAGGCTGAAATATAATTTAATTCACGGAGGAAAAGCCTTGTAGGTCTAAATGGTTTAATTAAATCAACATAACAAATAAAATTACATTAGATGACATAATCAGATCCCGTATGAGAATATTATGGGGATTATTTATAACATGTTTCTTAACATTCCAGAGTATCGTCATAGCTCACAATAAATTAACGGACGCACGTGTATTGTATGGGGAAGCTGAGCTTTTGAATGCTAATATCAACCGATCTCCTACATCTTATTTGAGGAATCCACCAGAGGAAAGAGCTAGGTAAGAAGCCAATACACCAAAATTTTTAGCCACTACCATCATTTACGTTAATTTATTCATCTCTATCTATAGATGAAATCAGAAATGGTTACTTCCTCAAACTTGTTTCACAATATACAGCTAACGCTATCTAACGGATAAAGTATAAACTAACAAAAATACCTACTGTTACTAACGTCAAACTTAGTTCATCATAGAGCTTACTAGATGGCGCTTTTTATTGAGAGCCGTTTTCTGAATCGCGGTGTTAAGATTCTCCGGCGTTGAACGACCCTCGCGTCGCGCCGCTGCGAACTCATACTTACCTGGCGTAGGGGATACCGTGATCATGAAGGCGGTTCCCCCAGGGCGAGGTCCTCTCATTGCACTGCGATAGGGTTGACCCCTGCGATTATCCCTAATGTGGATAACTCGGACGCGTAATTTTTGATAGTGAGGGACTGCGTACGCGCTGTCCCTCTAAGAAATAATTAAAAATGTTATTATTATTATATAATAACAATTAACAATAACCGTACAGAGATGCAGTAATCAGTTACATGTATCTAAAACAGTAAAACTTATGATAGTGCTATTAATCGCATGGTATAATTAGTTCTACATACATAGTACATCAAGAAGCAGATGGTGGAAAACTGAAAAAGATTTCTTCAAATATGTATGAAAAATTAGATAAAGAGAGATTAAAATAAAGCAAGGTAGCTAAGGCAAGCGAAAATTAATTTCGAACAAGTTATAAACAGAAAGATTTGAAACGCTTCAGTTAAAAATAACACTCTTTAGTAATAAGATGACGCGACGATAAAAACAGGAAACATTCACTAGCCATTTGAAGCGGTTTAAACAGGAAATTATATTAATATTTATTTACGTACATAGGGAAGGACACAAATACTTTTGATTTAATTAAAGTTATGGCTTACAACTTACAAGCTGGTACTATTCGAAAAAACTAGTACATTTTTCCAAGTCGTCGATGATGTCATAGCGCCGCACACAAAAGAATAACGATTTTTTCAGGCAATGTTTCAACGATGATTTCTTGAATGTAAAGATATTTTGCCTAAGTGACTCACGCTCTTAGTCATGAATATAAGTCCCGGTGTGACTTGAAATTAGTAGAGCTTTCTCGAATAATTTCCGTGAATAAGTCGTATTTTAAATTAATCTTATACTATTATATAAAGCGGAAGAGTTTGTTTTTTTGTTTGAACGCGCTAACATCCGCAACTACAAGTCCGATTTGAATAATTCTTTTTGTGTTGGATAGCGCATTTATCGAGTATGGCTATAGGCTATAAAACATCACGCTGCGACCAATAGGAGCTGAGCAGAGCGTGTGAAACCGCGCGAAAGTAGCTAGTTTATTATATTCCATGAAAGTTAAATATTCCAATTAAAATTCCAGGTACAAATATGACACAGACAAGACTCTGTCGCAGATTCGCTTCGTGTCTCCAGAGAACAAGATCCTGGGTGTGATTAACTGGTTCGCAGTACATCCGACCAGTATGAACAATACTAATAAGTTGATCTCCTCTGATAATGTGGGGTATGCCTCCATTTTGATGGAGAAAGCTCTTAATGGGAACACGACGTTGCCAGGCAAGGTAAAGGAGTTGATATTCATTTTTTTTTATGCCATAAGCCGGTAAACGAACAGACGGATCACCTGATGGTAAGCAATCAGCGTCGCTCATGGACACCTGGAACACCAGTGGCGTTACAAGTGCGTGAGGATAGTTGGGGATTCATGGATTGGAGAGATTGGGGAAGGGATGGGGGAGGGGTAATTTGGCCTCCGGTAACCTCACTCACACGACGAAACACAACGCAAGCGTTGCTTCACGTTGGTTTTCTGTGAGGCCGTGGTATCACTCCGGTCGAGCCGACCCATTCGTGCCGAAGCATGACTCTCCCACACTTAAAAATGAGTTTCTTTTCATAATACTACATGATGTGATTTAAAATTAAGTGTCTGAGCAGTCAATTGCTGCAAAAATATTTATCCTCTTATTAAGTAAAAACGCGGGCTACTCACGTGAATATACTGAGAAAACTCTACTAGTTTCGAGCCACAGAGGGGTTCTTCCTCATGCTCATATATTCACGTGAGTAACCCGCGTTTTTACTTATATTAGTATGTCTCACGATAGTTACCTTTTATTGGTTACCCACCAAAAATACCTTCATCAAATGATACATAGGTCACATAGGTATAATTGGGATGATGACGGGGTATGAAAATTAAAAAATATAATTAGTCCGTCAGTTAGGTAATAAAAAAATTATTGGACACGTATTTTTTATTTTGTCGTATAATAAAATAATACTTAGATATAACGAATCAAAGTTTAGGAGTGGGGGCTAAAATGTCATTTCTACGTATAAAATGTACATAGAAGTGACGTCACGCGACATTTCAAATCAATATAACGTCGAAAGTTTTCAATTCTGTAAGGACATAAAAAATAGGGACATTAAAATAAAAAATACGCATCTACTCTATTTTCCAGTCGCGGAGAACCTAACGGGTTACCGGGGCTCCGGCTCGACGTGCAGGAGAAGGAACGGGGTGGTTTTTAGTCAGTAAGAGTCTGACACTCCCTTCTGCCTCACCCAGGCGGGAGCAGTCATTCGATGATTTTCCCCCCTTAAAAAAAAACTCTATTTTCCAGGGCAGCATAGTTTGTGCCTTCGCGTCCACGAACCTCGGCGACGTATCACCAAACACGCGAGGCCCGCACTGTGAGTTCTCAGGCAAGTCGTGTGACCAGGAGACCTTGTTGTGCAAGAGGCCTAAAGAGAGGTGCTTCGCGTCAGGACCTGGGCGGGACATGTTTGATAGCACCAGGATCATTGCTACGAAGCTGTTCCATACTGCCATGGTGAGTGTAGTGACACATGAAATGAATAATTGACTGAAGATGTAGGTGTTAATAATACATTTATTTTTTATAACCATGTTGTTTCTCATATTGACATAATATGGGATGTTGTTTTATTTTTTACTGCTGTTTTTTTATGTTATTATTGTTTTGTTCTTATTGTTTTTTATTTTATTTATTTTTTTTTGTTTTTCAATGTTATTTTGTTATTATTTTGTGTGTTATTCGGTGGTCCATGTCGGTGGCGAATAAATTATTTTTCTTTCTTTCTTTCTTTCTGATACTATTGCTAAATAACGTGGAAATACTAGACATAACATAACATCTCGCCTTTTATATAACAGCTTATAAATGCCCACTGCTGAGCAAAGCCTCTTCTCACACGGAGAAGGTTTGAGCATTAATCACCACGCTTGCTCAATGCGGGTTGGCGATTACAAACTTATAATTAGAAATTATAAGCCTAGTTTTCCTTAGGAAGTTTTCCTTCACCGTTTGTCAGTGGTGTCTGAATAATTTTAGAAAGTACATATAACTTGGAAAACGTCACATTGGTACTTGCCGTTGGTAGGTTTCGAACCCGCACCCTCATGCATGAGAAGTGGGCGTCTTAAACCTCCGGGCCGCCACGACATACTCTCTAAATCAGTGGTTCCCAAAGTTGTAGAGACTACGACCTATTTGAATCAAGTTACAAATCTTAGGACCCATATATACATAACATCACGGCTGTCTGTCACGGTAGGCAGACTCTATGGATCCACTTTTAGGAAATGAAACTGTTACCAATAGGAAAAGTGAAATATAGAATGGTTGGTTAGCGTGTCATTATAGAGGTACAGACAACGCCCACTAAAATTTCACTTGCGACCCACAGTTTGGGAAACCCTGCTCTAAATATATATATATATATATCAAAATAATGATTTATCAATTCCAGAATGTTCTAAACGAGCCGGGTGAAGACGTCACAGGTCCTCTGGGCATCAAACACCAGTACGTGAAGATGCCAGAACAAGCGGTCGCTCCATACGACCCGGTCACCGAGACCTTCAATACGGTAAGGATTTGAGATTATTTAGGGACGAAGAAAAAACTTTTAACGTAACATAACGTAACACAATCACGCCTTTTTTATCTCTGAAGGGGTAAGCATTAATGCCACTGTACAATGTAACACCCACTTTTCACTATTTATGTTTTGAGTCCCATGTAATAGGGGGTGAGACTATTGCTATATACCGTGCACAATTCCAGACTCCGTATTACTGTGATTTTTTTAAGAAACCCAGTAATATTTTGCTCGACTCGGGAATCGAACCCGATACCTTTCGGTAGACGTACTTGCGACCACTTGGTCAACGAGGCAGTCAAAAACTTTTTGTTAAAAGTAAAGTTCTACTTTTACAGTAAACGTAGACTTATCATGAAACTCATGAATGTAACTATCCTTCAGCTATAGCCATATGCCATTTAGCGCTTGTCTTATGTAGAATAGAAAACCAAATTATATGGAACTAGCTTTTACCCGCGGCTTTGCTCGCGTTACAAAAGGATAAAAAGTGGCCTATGTGACATATACCAATACACACAGCGCCATCTATACCAATACTTTTGTTTTCCCTCGGAAATATCAAATTTTTCCGAAATAAAAAGTATTTATTTACACTTTATTGTACACCATAAAAACATACATAAAAAAAAACAAACATAAAAGAATGTGCACAATGGGCGGTCTTATCGCAGAATGCGATTTCTTCCAGACAACCTTTGGATGGAGCCAGTATTCAGGAGTTCAGGAGTACCCTATTATTTAATCCAGACTTCTAACTTCACGTCTGCAAAAATTCAAAGCAATCGGTTTAGTAATTACGGCGTGAAGGCGGTACAAACAAACAAACAAACTCACTTTCCGATTTATAATATAAGTACGGATTGTCGTAAATTTTGACACTTGTCAGTGTCATCCCCATACATTTAGTTTTTAAACGTTGGATTTTCTCCTGTGTCGTGGGTGCGTTTACAAACAAACAAATTCACATACACAAAGACACCCAGACCAGAAACAACAATTTGTGGATTACACAAAGTGTTGTTCCGTGCGGGAATCGAACCCGCGACACGTTACACGGCAGCCGGTTGCCCAGCCACCGCACCAACCGTGCAGTCTTTGGCTAAAGGCACTGAATAAATAGCAGATAGTTTCCCACGTCGGTGTACAATTTTGTTTATCTTCTATCATTGGTGCATGTATTCCAAAATTCTAACACCTAGCATTTACATCTTCAGAGCACAAAAGTATACGGGTGTCTCCCAGCCATGGGCTATAGTTTCGCAGCGGGTACTACGGACGGACCTGGGGCATTCGACTTCAAACAGGGCACCACCACATCCAATCCCTTATGGAATGCTGTCAGGGACTTCATTGCTGAACCTACCAAGGAAGACATCAAGTGTCAGGCGCCTAAACCGATTTTATTGGCTACTGGACGGGTAAGAATAGTCACTTCACGTCAGTTTTCTGCTCGGCCGTGGTATCACTCCTAACGAGCCGGCCCATTCGTGCCGAAGCATGGCTTAACTCGTCGAGTACCGGTTTTATAGACACAATTAAAGAACAATAGGTCGCGGTCACCGGTGACCGCTTGGTGTTTGACAGTTTAAAAATAAGTTTAGGGTAAGAATAGGGTAGATGCCTAATTTTTATTTTAATGCCCGTCTGGTAGATTATTTTAAATCATTAGACACGTATTTTTTATTTTCTTACAGAAACGAATACTTTCGACGATATATTGATTTGAAATGTCGCGTGACGTCACTTCTATGTATGTACATTTTATACGTAGAAATGACGTTTTAGCCCCCACTCCTAAACTTTGATTCGTTTTATCTAAGTATTGTTTTATTGTACGACAAAATAAAAAAATACGTGTCTAATATTTTTTCATTACCTAACTGACGGACTAATTAGATTTTTAACTTTCATATCCTGTCATCATCTCAATTATCAGACAAATGTACCTTTTTAGAAAAGTTTCATTGTGTATATTATTTCATAAGAGGTGAGGAATTGTATGATGTGTGCTTTTAATTAGGAGTTGGAGATGTTCATTTATCTGAACAGATTGTCTGTCATTTCAATATTTTTTTTTTATGGCATAAGCCGGTAAACGAGCCGACGGATCACCTGATGGTAAGCAATCGGCGTCGCCCATGGACACCTGAAACACTAGAGGCGTTACAAGTGTGATTAGGAGTTTGAGGATCGTTGGGGATTCAGGAATTGGGGAGATTGGGGAAGGGAAGGGTAATTGGGCCTCCCGTAACCGACTCACACGACGAAACAGAATGCAAGCGTTGCATTACGTCAGTTTTCTACTCGGCCATGGTATCACTCCGGTCGAGCCGGCCCATTCTTGCCGAAGCATGGCTCTCCCACATTAAACTGTCAAACACCAAGCGGTCACCGGTGACCGCGACCTATTGTTCTTTAATTGTGTCTATAAAACCGGTACTCGACGAGTTAAACTGTGTGATCGAAATAACATTTGATTTTTGTCAATACCAGGCACAAAGGTATGAAGCCCGATCCGGGAATCGAACCCGAGTCTACTTGCCGGGCATAGCACTTGCGACCACTCGGTCAACGAGGCAGTCTATACATTCTAAATTCTCCATTTTTATTTCCAGGCCAGATTCCCTTACGAATGGCAGCCAAAGATAGTATCTTGTTCTGTGGCGAGGATCGGCGGCCTCATACTCGCTGCAGTACCGGGGGAGTTCACCACCATGTCCGGCCGGAGACTGAGGCACGTCATCGCTAAGACTGCACCAGGTGCAAGGAAGGTCGTCATCGCTGGACTCTCCAATATCTATTCTGATTATATTGCTACGCCTGAGGAGTATCAGGTTGGTATTTCAGGAGTTGCTGTAATCTTATATCTTATATCAGCCCGGCCCGGCAGATGGCGCTGTAGTCGGTTTCTAGGTTATTTATCTATACCTATTATTACAGGACAACGTCTGTCGGGTCCGCTAGTCTTTATACCTCTATATATAATTTTTCTGTGAGTGTGTATGTCACTGAACTTCTCTCAAACGACTGGACCGATTTTGATAAATATTTTTGTGTATGTTCAAGGGGATCTAGGAATGGTTTAGATTCACTAATCAGCCCGGCAGATGGCGCTGCAGTCGATGTTTAGGTTATTTATCCTAAACAGCTGAACTAATTTGAATGAATTTTCGTTTATACATTCAAGTGGATATGCAGAAAGCGGAAGTTTGTTTTTTTTGTTTGTTTGAACGCGCTAATCTCCATAACTACAAGTCTGATTTGAATAGCGCATTTATCGAGGAAGGCTATAGGCTATAAAACATCACGCTACGACCAAAAGGAGCTGAACAGAGCGTGTAAAACCGCGCGGAAGTTGCTAGTAGACTTTATAAATTCGCATTTTTGGACGCTTGGTAGAACGAGTAAAGAATAATAATTTACGTCATTAAGATTTAAAACTTCATTATTGTGAGCCAAAACAGACAGATCATGTCTGAAATTGAGACAGCTTCTCAGATTCAGATGAATTTACTTTAGTCCAAGTAACTTTTACAGCCAGTTTCAATGACCTATCTATCTGTAAGCGGCCGTAAGATTTGCTTACTAGAGATAGAATTTTGACATGAGCTCCATACATGATACAAGAAGTGTCAAAATCCTATCTCTAGTAAGCAAATCTACAGATAGATAGGTTATTGAAATTGGACGTTAGGGAATAGAGAGTATAGTTCCCTAAGATCGGAAAAGGAGGATCCTCCGACCAGGCGAGGTGATCGTGCCTGGCGGGCTTTCTGCCCAACAGTTGTTCGTTGGGATTTTCTATCCGTGTTAATTCGATTGTAAACTTCGCATGTGCGATGTAGGATTTTATGACGTCATCCGTTGACATGTAACATGTGTCGCCACAAACAAAACAACTGGATTCTTTTTTAAAAAAAAATTATGGCATAAGCCAGTAAACGAGCAGACGGATCACCTGATGGTAAGCAATCGGCGTCGCCCATGGACACCTGGAACACCAGAGGCGTTACATGTGCATAACCGGCCTTTTGGGGATTAGGAGTTTGAGGATCGTTGGGGATTCAGGAATTGGGGAGATTGGGGAAGGGGGGGGGGGTGTAATTGGGTAACCTCAGTCACACGATGAAATACAACGCAAGCGTTGCCTCACGTCGGTTGTCTGCTCGGCCGTGGTATCACTCCGGTCGAGCCGGCCCATTCATGTCGAAGCATGGCTCTCCCACACTTAAACTGTGTAATCGAAATGACATTTGGTTTTTGTTAATACTAGGCGCAAAGATATGAAGCAGCGTCTACAATTTACGGGCCCCATACATTGGACATATATTTGAACAAATACGTCGAGCTGACTGAAGCATTGATCTCAGTAAGTATTGCTAAGTTGTGATAGACTAACTTTAACTTATTATCATGAAATTAGAAAGAAGAAAGAAAGAAGGAAGGAAAGAAGAATTGTTTATGTGCACCGTCAGGAAGTACAATAAAACACAACAAAAATATCAAACAGTGAAGACGGCGCCAAAAGGCCAGAGCTCAGCTTGCAATGCCGTGACCTGAGTGCGCTCGAGTCGTGGCAAATGAATAAGTCTTTTTATATACTTTCAACATAACATCACACCTTTTATCCCCGAATGGGTAGGCAGAGGTGCTCATTATACCACTGTACAATAAATAAATAATAAAAAAGTAAAATAAATTTATTTCAGACATATTGGGTCCATACATTTACAGTTTATTATTATTTAATATATATATTCTTAATTAATGTAACACCCACTTTTCACTATTTATGCTATGAGTCCCATGTAATTGATTTCCAAGCTCTGTGCTACTACTGAGAATATTTAAAAACCCAGTAATACTTTGCCCGACCCGGGAATCGAATCCGAGACCCCTTGCCGCACTTACGACCACTCGGCCAACAAGGCAGTCAATATACTTTACTTTTTTATATATACTTTCAGAGTAAAACAATCCCACAAGGTCCCGAACCGCCAGATCTAAGCACTCAACTGATCTCCTTAGTACCGCCTGTATTATGGGACTCCGCGCCGTGGGGTCACGAGTTCGGTGACTGCTTGAAGCAGCCCTTCAAACAGTATAGCTATGGAGATGTTGTTATGACACAATTCGTAAGTAATAATAATAATTCTTTATTCATGTACCAACATCTAAATATATCAAGCTCTGTCTCCTGAACTAGGCGTTGCCTGTATCTCAGGAGGCAGTACCTTCCCGTTACATTTCTGGTACGAATAGTGGTTACAGAACAGAATGCTTAATAACAATTACAGTGACATTATGAGGTAACAATAAAGCGATAATAAAAAGAATAAAGTATTGATTTGAGTATGTGTGCGTATAATTGTTATGTATGTAAGTATACAGTATATTTGTGGTGTGTGTGTGTAAGTATTAATGCCTATTATTGTTATTTGGGGAACGTAGTGTAGGGCGCCCTACGGCTAGGTGGAGTGACGATATACGTAAAGTGGCTGGTAATGCTTGGATGCGTAGACCTGAAGACCGAGCTCAGTGGCGTGCCATTGGAGAGGTCTGTGTCTAGCAGAGACGAAATCAGGCTGTTAATGATGATGATGATTGTTATTTTGTATTGTGAGGTTTCCTTATATATTTCTTTACGTGATGTGGTGAATAAATTATATCACTATCTCCTTCTTTTCATTGCTGATTTGAAATGTATCATGTTTAATTATTAAGATCCATGGGATCCAAATTGATCGAATATTTTTTTCTTCTGCATCTTTGTTTATTTTATTTTTACAGGGAATGCGCTTAATAAGTTCGATAGATCGAATGTTTGAATGATGAAAGATTTTTTTAAGTTTTTTGATAACAAGCTTCTTCATGTTTTTTTATTAACTATCGTGAGACATACTAAATTAAATAAAAACGCGGGTTACTCACGTGAATATCTGTTCAATGCATTACCCGACGATATCAAAGAGTGCGATAACGTGAACACATTTAAATATAAGCTAAAGAAACATTTAAGTACATTGTAACTGCTAATACTTTGGAGGAAATTTGTATTGTACCTACTATATTTGTTTATTACTTTGTATCTCATTATAAGTGGACTGTATGTTCTTATGAGAAATAAATTTCTTTAAACCGAATATACTGAGAAAAGTAGTTTCGAACCACAGAGGGGTTCTTCCTCATGAGCAGCGTGCGCGGTCGCGGCGATGTCGGGCAGCTCACTGAGTGAGAATGAGGACGCGGATATCCTTAAATTGATGTTGATGTATTTGTAGGTATCTGGTCACCCCCGCAACAGTATCCGCCACGGGCGCTGGTACGCCACCGTGGAGCGACTCGAGTCGGAGGAAGATGACGCATGGACCACTGTCTTCACTGATGCTGACTGGGAAACTAAGTAAGTAGCTATATCATATTCTTAGTAGAATAGTTAAAAGTTTTTTAGAAAGTGTCTATAGAAAGATATGTGTTTCGACTATGCCATTTGTAAAGTTGTCGACTCTGTGACATCTGAGATCGAGCTCTCGGATTAGACTCTCGAGTCTTAGTGGTAATACTTTGAGTTGTAGTAGTAGGGACATGTCGCGGAGAACCTAACGCGTTACCGGGGCTCCGGCTCGACGTGCAGGAGAAGGAACGGGGTGGTTTTTAGTCAGTAAGAGTCTGACACTCCCTCCCGCCTCACCCAGGCGGGAGCAGTCATTCGATGATTTTCCCCCATTAAAAAAAACAGTAGTAGGGACATGACTTGTGAAAAGTTGGATATATATAATGTAATATTATTTTATTAAAGACATATGTATAATTAGTTCATACTAGCCTGTGACGTCGCTCGCGGTTTCGTAGGATAAAAATATCCTATTGTTATAAAAGACCAATGCCGTTTTGTAAAGGAGCAACAAAGAAACGAACCAATAAACTTACTTTTTGCATTTATAATATTAGTATAATTATTTCATATTTTTCACACTTTCCAGGTACATCTGGATTCGTGACTCCAAAGTGATGGGCACAAGTCGTGCGGAGATCGAATGGGAGATTCCAGTAGGAACTCCAAAGGGAACCTACAGGATTCATCATTTTGGAAACTACAAATATGTGTTGGGTGGCATCTACCCTTACCATGGATTCACGGACAGTTTCGAAGTGTCTTAGGCCTTTGATTGACCATCTTTGCTGTTGTACTACGGAACTTACTATGAAAATTAATATCATTGTCAATTTCTATTATTACTGTCCATCATAGAGACGGGCTTAAGATATGCGTTTGAGTAATTGAATATCTGATGCATATAAAGTAACTGGAATTGAGGAATTCCCAGGGACTTTACTTGGGACCAATTTTAATTTTGAGTAAATGCTGAAATGAAAATTGGGTTGTAAATAATGCCAAGTTATCGAGTGATCTTTGGGACCAATCAGTTATAAACAAGGCGTAATTAACATGACAGTGTTTATGACATTTTTATTCTATACCTATGTTATAAGTAGGTACTGTTTTGTAGTAATATGCCAATATTCTACGAGTAAGTTCCAAACTATAGCCACTTGTTAGAGCTTTCCATTGGATTATGTAAATTTAATCCTTATTATACTTTATTTTAAGGTTTATTTATAAATGTTAATAGCGTTTACTTGCGCGGGCGCATTGCGTTCCTTTTAGCTGTAAGAAGAGATGAAGCCAGTTATTTTATGAAGTAAGTATAAGTTAACGTTGTATTATATAGATTCTTTTAATTTTCTACTTACCTTTAACCGGTGAAATTGTTTATTTTAATTAGTTTCAACTGGCTTTCTCAGGCGCTGATAAGTTTTTGATAAAAACTCAACCTCCCCGCTTTTAGAGGGCGGCAACAGACTTATTATAAACTTCTCTTGTGTTGCGGGTGTCCATAAGCTGCACTACCATTAGGTGGTCCGTCTGCTTTTGCCCCTCTCAAAAAAAATATAAAGCTGATCTTATTCAGTTGAGTCTTATCCAGTTTTTTGTATTTATCTTGGCGAATCTAGATAGCTACATCTACGGCATTATCTGTCAGTTACATTAATCAAAAACTTATCAAAGAGTAGTTCTTAAAACTTTATATTAAAGCCAATTAACATATGAACCAAAGTGAAATTCTTAGTTTTAATACTTTCTGTAGATATTTTACTTTACTATAGCTTAGAACAAGTAGTCTAGTCGCCAATCCTATGTGATTTTATACTCTTTTCGTTTATTTACCTATTATTGTGTAATTTTATGTATTTTCTTTATATGTAGGAATATTTATTATATTGATATCGAAGGATTTATCTTGTTTAAAGAGGACTTTACAATAAGATAATAAATATTATAGTAATCAGGCTAATAAATATTATGCAAAAATGTAAATGTAATTACACTTGAGTGCAGATTAATGTGAACAGTTGTTTGTGTGGAAAATCTACTTTCTGACAAAGTAGATTTGTTTCAATTATTCTCTTTTTTGTTATTTTTTTCGTTTACTTTAATGCAATTATGATAAATGTCTCCCTTTAACATATTAATTCATTTTAATAGTCAAACAGAAAGCACAAATTCAGCAGTTTTCGAAGTAGTAGTCGACGCCCTGTTAATTTGTCAATATCTTGTATACTTTAACTTAACCTTCTTCTTGACCGGAAACGCACTTGTAACGCCTCTGGTGTTCCAGGCGTCCATGGGCGACGCCGATTGCTTACCATCAGGTGATCCGTCGGCTCGTTTACCGGATTATCCCATAAAAAAAACTGTATATTGTATATGTATACATAAAATATTCTAGTAAGCCGTGGAGTGAATGTCTGGCCTCCGTTTATAAAACCAGATTTTTTCCCTTCATAAGTAGGGTACTGATATTTTTGCTCGCCACTGTATATTTAATACCATTTCTATAATAATTATCTGTGCTAAAGTATTTAGTGTGTCACATTTTTTTCTTTCATAGATTAGGGTTTAGGACAACAGGTATTTATTTGTATACCTATTTATCAAAACACATTTTTTATATTATGTATAAGTATTTTCTATGATTGTGCCTGTATTTATTTGTACCTAGAACTGATTTAGACAGTGTACGTAGACTTATAAAAGTGCCAATTTGTATGTAATAAAATATTTATTAGTATATGAAGTTGTTATTGTTTTTTTATTATTCTCTTGGTAAAAACTCCTTCCTAAGCTTTCCCATTTGTCCTATCTATTTTTGTCATCTTGTTTCAGATTTGGTTGGTGGATTTAATAAATAAAAGTAATAAAAAATAAATTTATTTAAAACAACATAGAACACATTTAGAATTACAGTTCGCTCAGATTTTATAGTAATAAAAGTCTTAATAATAACACTCGTAATAGTTTATTTGATTTGATTAAGGGATGTAATATAAATGTTTGCAAAGTTTCAGGCCCATTCTTTACTTTTTACTAAAAACAAATTCCAGTGCCATCATAAAAGTACTCAACGGGTACCGAAGGACCGACATTTTTTACAACGGACACAAACCCGCTACATGTTGCGCAGCAAGTGGCTGCCCCGCAACTAGTAACCGGTTCGATTCCCGGACGGAGCAAATATTTACTTGATCCACAAAGTGTTGTTTCGGGTCTGAGTGTCAATGTATTTTTTATTGAAGGGACAAGCCCGCCTTAACCCCCCAAAATCGCTTCAACTCCTGTAAGCCAGGATCTTCAGTAGATACAACCATGAAAATACCGGAACACTGATGTCTGGCGCGTCCTAGGGACATGAGTAACTGTCTTGGTTCCCGCAACGAAATGAATGACAGAAGATATTATAAGAGGAGAAGAAGAAAAAACTATAGTTTCCACTGTGGTTTCCACCACCCTCGGTGAATTACTGCAGGAGGCAGAGCGAATTAAGCCTAGTGTCATGTGTATGTGAACTTGTATGTTTGTAAACGCACCCACGACATAGGAGAAAATCCTAGTGTGGGGCAACATTAAAGAAACATTCCACAAGGGCTCCGAATAATTTTGTGCTCAATGGCCCCAGAGTATGGCTCATAAACTTTGTCCGCAAGAATCTGAAGGATATTCACTATTTATTACACCACCCATATCAGACTTATCAGCAAGATACAGTATCATGGATTACCATAATTAATTAGAATAATTAGGTACCTAAACACTTTCATTTTCCATTTTAATCAAATAATTTATCAATAATCATGTTATTACGTACACGCTTATATACTTAGGAACCCATGGAAAACAAATCGGACGAGAATGTAGAAGATAACTCAACGATAAATACTAACGTCACTGAAATACTTGAAAGTTGAATTGATTAAGATTTTCATGCACAGAAATAATTTATTTCATAACATAGTCATTTCGAGTTCATAGTCTTTATAGAACGTCTCGTCATTCAGGGTAGAGAGTGGCATCAATGGGGATGATGTTAGAGACAACGTCACAGCCACGATCGCCGTGTAAATGGAATCTTCCACCCAAAGGTTGTCTGGTAGAAATTACTATCAGTGATAAGACCGCCTTTGTAAACAACATAACATAACACGCCTTTTATCCCCGAAGGGGTATGCAGAGGTACATATCACGGCACTTACCGCCTTTGTATCCAATATAATTTTTTATTTATGTTTGTCATTTCCTTTTTCTATTACGTACTATATTATTAATGGTATACAATACAGATTACTCCATTCCATTCTATTCCATTCCATTCTATTCTATTCTGTTCTGTTCTGTTCTATTCTAATATGACTAAGTAAAGATCATAGTAGAAGATTCCATCTTAGAAGACGATCTCTACATAGGTACCTCTTATCCCCAAATGCCTAAAAATCTGATAATGTTCTTGTCACTTATTTGTTGTTGCGAGTGTACACGGACGGCTCTGATACTAACCGTAATACGTTTGCTCGTTTATACCCTTTATCCCAATAGAATTAATATAAATTACTTTCCTCTCCTTCAAAGTCAGAATATGTCTCTAACTTCTGCACCTATCATGATCTCGGAGAAACCCAAAACTCATTGAGGATGTTCATTGACTAAAGTATACCAGTACATTAGCACTATTTCGTACCTACCTAAATGTCACTGGAACAGCATGTAATTAATGAAAAGTATCGCACAACGTGGGCGATAACAGTGATAAACATTTCTATCTACTTCGTTTTAGTAGATTATACTAGCGAAATGAAGGAATTATCTGTTTGGACGTAGCAACGCGATTAGCTTCGTTTATAACTCCGATGATCCAGCAAAATGTCCACAGGCCATAATCTAATTTTAGTTAGTGAATAGTTATATTATTAACCCCACCGCGGGGTGAATTTATGCTGGGCTCGCTGTCATTGCAGCGGTAAGTCCCCTCTTTGGCTTGTGGCTTGAGAGACGCTACGGCGTCCTTACCTACCGGACCCGTCCTAACGGACACGGAAGTTTCGGTAGGTTCCTGTTTCGGATTGGGCGGGAGGAAACGCCCGGGTGTCATCACTGCGAGGATCGCCCGGAGGACACAGTGGAGCACGGTGGCGGTGTGCCCTGCGTGGGCTGAGCACCGCCGTGTCCTCAGGGATATGATCGGTGACGGCGACCTCTCGCGTCCGGCTCTGGTTCAGACCATGGTATGGAACGAGGGGGACTGGGGAAAAAAACACTGGGTACAATTTCAGACACTTTAGAATGTCACTGACAATTTTAATATTGAAAGTACGCCGCCCTTAAATTAATCATACGTCCCTGAAGTCATCAGTCATATTTGCGGTCACTTAATGATGCCATTAAGTGTATCTAACCGTTGAACCACACTAAAAACTAGTCCTGTTCAATTTCTATCAAAATCCAGAATTTATTAAGATTGGTTATTAATTTCGGTCATTAGAGGATGAATTCTACATACATATATATAAATAAAACAATTTATTTCTTCAAAATTGACCTTAGATATTATACAGTATCATCACAATATGTGGCCTAAAATTGTAAAGGATTAGATTACAGATAATGAAGGACAAATAGTGTATGATAAGCTATCATAGGAATCATAACAGGTCGATAGTATAATGAAATACCATTAACTCTGTAGAGATTACTACGGATTATTTGTGATTGTACCCTGGATTCGTTAAAATATGTATAAACAAGAACATAGTTGAATTTATGGGATAAACCGGTGTACGATTAGACAGATCACCTGATGGTAAGCAATCAGCGTCGCCCATGGACAGCTGGAACACCAGAGGCGTTACAAGTGCATCACTAGCCATTTGGGATTGGGAATTTGAGGATTGTTGGCCTCCGGTGACGCGACGACACACAACGCAAGCGTTGTTTCACGTCGGTCTTTTGTGAGGCGTAGTATCACTCCGGTCGATCCGGCTTATTGGTGCCGAAGCATGGCTCTCCCACACTTAACACATATTTGAACCCAACTACATTTATTAGAGGCAGAAAAAGGTTGAAGATCCGGGTGGATAATTGCAACATTCTCAAAATTACTCTTTAAAACAATCCAAACAGCTTTCAGCTGAACTACGGGTCTCCTCTGCATAAGAGGGTTTGCCATATATAATTTCCACGCTCCAAGCGTGTGCAAGTCATAGAGATCGCACTTGAAAAGGTTTAAGTTTACCAGAGAGCGCTGATGCCTTGTCTCTGTTAAATGTATAGTCCCTTAGTTGACGGAGCCGCTGAGGTATTAACGAGTTTCCGGTGCTCCGGCTCGAAATACAGGAGTAGTAACGTGGTGGTTTAGTCAGTAATTTTAAAGTCTGACACTCTCTCTCGCCCCACCCGGGGCGGCAAAGTCATTGGATGATTTTTCCCCCTTAAAAAACCCGTAGTTGGCTTTGGCTCTTATGACAGTCGCGGCAAGGAAGGAGGTGGTGTAAAAAATGTATTCTACTTGCTCGTCATCACACTTTTTTTTTTTTTTGAGGTGGGAAAATCATCCAATGACTTCTCCCGCCTGGGTGAGGCGGGAGGGAGTGTCAGACTCTTACTGACTAAAAACCACCCCGTTCCTACTCCTGCACTTCGAGCCGGAGCCCCGGCAACCCGTTAAGTCTTCCGCGGCTCCGTTGCTCGTCATCACACTGCTGATTGCCCCACGTATCTTAATTGGGTACTTCGCTTGACCTATGCCGAAATTGTTTTTGTACTCGTGTCAGGTGCAAAGTGATGGAATTCCATATCTCGTGTAGAAATATTTTCAGATAATTTTATTGATAGATAAGCCTTGGTTTATCGGCTTATTGTAGTTGATTAATTACTTAATATTATAATGGCTACTTTTTATTATTAAAACAAATCGCGTATGCGATGGTGCGTCTCCTTGTGTTTGAGTTTAAATAAGGAAAATTGTTCGTGCAAACGGTTTTTCTTTTGTTTCTGTGATATAGTTTGTGTTTGGTTGTGTAATTCATTCATGTGAGTATTATTTGTGTTTTTTTTTTCGTTTCTGTAATCTCAACATAATATTAATGGAGTTCTTTCGTACTATGGTTATTATATTTGTTTAATACGTAAATTGTAAAGTTATTCAGCACTTCAGCAGTTCCCAAAAATGTGTTTACATTTTCAATTCTATCAGATCTATTGCATATCGTATCTCATGTAATTTATCCATCTCTTCTTTGGTCATTCTCTTTCTTCCTTTCATATTTAAATGCAGTACTAGTTTCAATATCGACATCATTTTTATTCCCTGTCATCATCATCGCAATGTGTTCCTTGTCCGTAGTAAGAGAGTGCACCATCTTTTAGCCTCTCTCGCCCGAATACTGGAAGGCTATTCAATATTAAGTAGTACTTAAATATCGCACCATCTCTGTCATTTTACAAAGTATTTGTAGTGACAGAACAATACCTAAGTGCGACTTCAAATTGAGTGCCGTTTGACTATTTCGACGTATGTGAGACAAATATTTATTTTTTTAAAAAGAAGTCGTCCCTTAAAGGGATAATCGTATTTTAGGTACCGACCTCAATTTGTTACTTACATTCCTCAATTTTATCTGGATGTATAGCTTAATCTTTAGATATGTATATTTTTTCAACCATTAGTTATTTCTTAACTGTAGAATATAATTGATAGTTGACAGTTTTTAGTTTGGAAGAATTGTCAAATAATGATGGTTAATTAAAGTTTAATTTATCTAGCGATGGAAAAATATGCTCAAATAAAAAATGTTGGTATCTAATTTTACTTTAAAATATTCACATCTCCCAATATCTTCGCACTATTATCTTGACTCCAACGTACCTATGTATTAGTTGGCTTAGCACTATCTAATTAATTATGTGTACTTACATGTCATTAGTGTTATCACTCACGTGTAAACTGCCTTAATACCTTGACCTGGACGTTGCTTAATCAGAAGTTCTCAAAAGGGCATCCAGAAACCCCTTAAATCCGTGTAGCGAATAGAAAATCCGAAGGAAAAGCTGTTAGGCAGAAAGCCCGCCAGGCAGAAAACCTCCCCTGGTCGGAGGATCCTACTTTTCTTTAGAAAGTTTACCCTCTGTCCCACAGAACATATAACTTATATGTTTTGTGCTCTGTCCCCTACATACGATCTCTTTTGGGGAGATTATCATCATCATTATTCCGTCAGTCACAAGACATTCACTGCTGAACGTAGGCCTCACCTAATGACTCTCAGGTCCGAGACCGATACACAAATAAATATCATACTTGGGACTAGAAATAAGCTTAGAATCGATCTTAAAAACAACGTTCTACAAAGTAATGAAAATCCTAAGGCTTTACAGCAAATGTACGGTTGGCGCGTTGGCTAACGAAACGAAAGCACTCTTTGTGTGATCCCCAAATTGTCTGGGTCTGGGTCTTGGTGTCATTGTGTATGTCAACTTGTATGTTTGTAAACGAACCCACGACACATCATGAGAAAATCCCAGTGTGGAGCAAAGTTTAAAAAAAAACAACAACAAATGCGAGTCGAAAAGTCTTGGAATCAGTCCCTATAATATTAGGTTTATATCTCTTGTACCATATTATACTATAATGATGTTCGGAAGATATTAATTCGAATTCTTAAGTAAGGTACTTCTGTTGTGTTCATGTAAAAAGATCACAAAGAAAATGCTTTTTACGACACATAATTAGTATCAGCTAGTGGGACATTGATAAATAATTTCGAAATACATATGTAAGTCGTTGTGATAAAAATAATGCCGGAGGTGGATATATCTAAATCTCTTAGGGACTGTACAACGTACATAGCTATTTCTCAATGGTAGGTATAAGCATAGACGTTGAAAAAAGGCGTCATTCTCTTGAAACAACGACTGCGGCACCTGTGCCTTTAGCCAAATGCCACTTTAGCGCTTGCCTATAGAGAGAATAGATATCAAAATGCATGGGGATGACACTGACAAGTGTCAAAATTTACGACTATTCCATATAATTTGGCTTTCTAATCTACATGTAGACGAGCGTTAAATGGCATTTGGCTACAGCTGCTGGTTACTATAGACTAACGTCCAGTTTCTATAACCTATCTATCTGTAGATTTGCTTACTAGAGATAGAATTTTGACACATTTTGTATGGAGCTCATGTCAAAATTCTATCTCTAGTAAGCAAATCTACAGATAGATAGGTTATAGAAACTGGACGTTACACGTAGAAACATACACACATTGACACAAAGGACATCTGTCATTTTCTTAAGTCTGGTAACGTGGTAACCCATTACACACGCAGATAAATAACCCACTGACATTTTGGCGCTTCAATGATTTCTAAATGACATTATGCCCGCCTTTTTTTAAACGTCTTTGGGTAGAAGAAATTATTACATTTACAAGCGGATATTGTTAAGAGCCACAACAATCTTTACTAGATCATCTCGTTCATATGGCATCAGAACCAAGATGCATGCATCTATACCTACAATTATTACATAGTATAAAACAAAGTCGCTATCCACCGTCTGTCTGTCCCTATGTATGCTAAGATCTTTAAAACTACACGACAGATTTTGATGCGGTTTTTTTAATAGATAGAGTGATTCTTAAGGTAGGCTTATCAAAGTCAAAGTCAAAGTCAAAATCATTTATTTCAATTAGGCCAGAATGGCACTTTTGAACGTCAACTGTTTATAATACATGCATATTGCAGCATATCATTATTTAAACACCCGAGAGATTAAGCACATTGACAAACAACTTAAAATATTTACAGAAACAATGCCGTGCACACTGGTAGGGAAGGTGGTGTCAGGAGTAGTGACTCTGGGTGTTATTGCTGGACTGACTGCAGTCATAGTCCTGACAGTCAACGAAGCAAATAGTAAGGAGAGTACAACGGAACTTCCACCTCCTTCATCTGCTGCAACAAGTCCCTCGACTCCAGGTTCTAATAAAGAAACAGAAAGTGATCTGCCGTATAGAGTGGGTGTCGGAATAGCTGACATGACGGGACCATGTGTGGAAATTACTTTTGTAAGTAATATATATTTTAGCATATTAATATTTACTTCCTTCTATAACTATAACTTAACTTGATTACCTAACACCTGAAAGTATTCAATTTAAAATTCATCAGGAACATCTCTTAGTTACCATTTATGTTTATGCTAAATAAATGCTGGTTCAAAATCCATATTACGCGTCTTTGATAAAATGATATAAATCAATAAACTGGATGCATTCAGTGATATTTTATTTATTTATTTTATTTCTTCTTTACAATATACAACAGTGAATGGCGGACTTAATGCCATAAGGCATTCTCTTACAGTCAACCATAGGGAAGTGCAGAGAAATGAAGTGGTTGATGCGAAGCCAGAACACAATTAAAAAAAAAATGATATTTTATGACAACAAAGGCCTGAACTAGTTCCCAGATACACAACAGTAGACATAATGAATGTATTACTTTTAGATGGGCTACGCAGAGGTGGGACAGCGTGGCCGAGGTATCCATACGCGTCAGTTTGCCAGATCATTTATCTTCGCGGAAGGAAACAGTAGAGTGGTGCTAGTCACGGCTGAGGTACAGGCTGTTGGCATTGCCGTTAGACGAGAGGTAAGAAACAAAAGGACCTTATGTCTGAAAGAGAGACAGAAAAAAGGATTTTGCGTTTGGCATATCCCACAATGCTGCTCAAGATATGAGTCCCTTGATTACTCGGTTTGGTCGAGTAAAAAGAGTAATCCATTTAATCAATTTTCATCCATCCAAAGTTTACATTAAGGATAAAGTAGATATTGCCACTAGTGATAAGAATATTGTTTCGTACTTATAATGAAACTTCTAAATGTTATAATATTTAATGGATATAATTATATGAATATTGCACGGAGACATTATAATAATAATAAATAATAAAGGAATTTATTTCTCTCAAAAAGGTACATACATAGAAACATTATATCACTATTTAAGTTACAATAGGTTCAACCTTTGTGAGGGCTGGAGTCTATACTGGGTTCAAGACCTGTATGACAGATCTCCAGGTTCACACCCGATGTCACAATAATATAGTAGGTAATTATAATGCAATAGAATACAAGCAATAAAAAGAAACAAATTCCGTGGTCTGAGGGTAGACCAACACCAAACCAGAGTGGATTATATGAGAATGGATGATGAGAATGTGTTTGTCAATTGTGAAAATGAATGTACAGTGTGTGAGTGTTCATGTCTTTAGTGTGAGTGTATCTGAAGTTGTGTGTTTGTGTATGTAAGTTGGTGTGCTGTGAAGAATATGTAGACATTACCGAAAGCCGACAACGACGAAGTACCCAACATTGTACCTATGCGAGAATTAAGATAAAACGTGCAGTAATTCTTCAGTGCTATCATAGTCCATGTCAAGAAGCCAGTTCCTGACCGTTTTTTTACATTTAGATTTACACAGAGGATATATGTTAAGTATATTGTTTGCCTTGTTGTATATGTAGCCGCTAAGAAAAGGGAAACTGCGTTGTGCTGATCGACAATTAGTCGAAAAAGGAGGACAAACACTATGCTTACGCCGTTTACCGTCAAACATGGTCGGATCGTAACTAATTTGGGAGTGAGTAGTCAAAAGAATATTCGAAATGAACAATTTTCGTATAGAGAGAACATTACAAATTTTATAAAGATCTGTGGTTGGAAAACGGAAAGGTAGCTTCCAGCCCACTTTCAGGAGTGCACGTTGTGCACGTTCTAGTTTTAAAAGATGTGTTTTAGCAGATCCGCCCCAGGCAATTATGCAGTATTCCATAATTGATTGACCAAGAGCCAAATACACAAGCCGCATAGTATTAGTATCGGCAGCATGACGGAGAGACTTGAATACATAAATTAGCCTCCGGACTCGAGAGGTAAGCGCGTCTATGTGAGCACGAAAAGACAGGCAATCGTCAATAAGTACACCCAGATATCTAATGCAGTCGACACGAGAGATACGGGGACAGTTACAGATTGACCTGTGATGTAATTTGCAAGAGTGTGCTATTAATGGAAGGGAGCAAGCGTTATAGGCTGTTTCAGTGGAACTTCATTTTCTTTTCATACTTTCCAGACATTGTTTGCCGACTGGGACATTGTTTACGTTTTCTGTTATTAAATAAGTTTTGCTTTCGTTTATTCGTAAGATACTTATCATGTTCCTAATTATTTTATAAACCAGGTAGTGAAGAAACTCCAAGAAAGGTATGGCAATATGTACACGCTGAACAATGTGATCCTCACAGGCACTCATACACACAGTACCCCTGGAGGTCACATGGTGGACTTTATCCTTGACATCAGCATCCTCGGCTTCTCCCGTGAAACTTTCACTGCTTACGTTGAAGGCATTACCAGGGTAAGTACCTACCAACTTTTGAATGTAATCTAGAAGAAATGGTGATGATATGTCATACTTAATGAACTGAAAATATTGACGAAAATCTTATTACATTTTAGAGTATAATCCGTGCTCACGAAAACATGGTTCCAGCTCGTTTGTTCTTTGGCCAGACGACAGTGACCGGTGCACAAATGAACAGATCACCGTTCTCTTACGGTGAAAACCCTAAAGAAGAGAGAGCTAGGTTTGTTAACCAAACTCCAGTAATAATTATTAGTTCTGATAGTGTTCTTATGATATGTGAAGTAGAATGACTTCGTTCCAAAATGTAGAAACTCATCACGGAGAAGAATTCGAAATTCTCGAAGACAATGCATGCAAAACTTATTAGGTTTTAGGCTTACTGACGTAAGTGTGGGAGAGCCCTGCTTCGGCACGAATGGGCTGGCTCGACCGGAGTGATACAGCACGGCCTCACAGAAAACCGACGTGAAGCAACGCTTGCGTTGTGTTTCGTCGTGTGAGTTTGGTTACCGGAGGCCCAATTACCCTCCCCTTCCCCAATCTCCCCAATTCCTGAATCCCGAACGATCCTCAAAGTCCCAATCCCCAAAAGGCCGGTAACGCACTTGTAACGCCTCTGACGTTCCAGGTGTCCATGGGTAACGCCGATTGCTTACCATCAGGTGATCCGTGTACTCATTTACCGGCTTATGCCATAATTAAATAAAAAAACTGTTGGACGAGCTGAATTGCCTAGTTTTAAGTCAGGCTAGGCATTCAGTTACGTGAATGCACCGTTGAAAATTTAAGATCTTTTACAATTACGATCAGACGACAGATCATCTGATAGTATAGCAGTCGGCCAGCCCATGAACACCCGCAATATTAGAGGAGTTAGAAGTGCTTTGCCCGTTTTCTAAGCGTTAGGAAGAGGATTGAGAATGTGAAATGTTTAGTTAATTATTCGAATTTCCATAGATACGAAGATGTAGGCAACCAGACAGATATAACTCTGACTCAAGTGAAGATCGTGAGGGAGGACGGTCGTCTGCACGGAGTGATGAACTGGTACGCAGTGCATACCACCAGCATGAATATGACAAACCAGCTCATATCCTCCGACAATCTGGGGTACGCTGCTTTGAGGATGGAGAAAGAATTGAACCCAAGAAGCATAACTGGCAAGGTAAGCTAAAATTTGGACACCTAGACTCTGAACTATCACTTTTTAGATTATAGATTGTCAATGAAAGAGAATGCGTTATTCGGTTGACACTATAAGTTATCTGCTACATTTGCCATTTGTACGTATGGTCATATAAGCAAGGAGTATTAAGCAAAGTACGATTAAAATAAATGGGGCTTACAATATTTTATTTATGTTAATGTTTTTATAATAATAACCATCGTGAGACATACTAAATTAACTAAAATCGCGGGTTCCTCACGTGAATATACTGACACAAGACGCGCACGCTGCTCATGAGGAAGAACCCCTCTGTGGTTCCAAACTAGAGCTTTCCTCAGTATATTCACGTGAGTAACCCGCGATTTTAGTTACCTAATTTTTTTTTTATTATTATTTCTATTTATTTATTTTGGGGTTTTTAAGTTACCTAATTTAGAGGTATGTTAATGCTGTTAGAAATATTCCAATAATACCTGTAGGTAATTGTTTCTCTTGTTATTCCAGCCAGAGATAGTAGCAGGTTTCTTCTCCTCGAACCTTGGCGACGTATCTCCGAACACGCAGGGAGCTCGCTGTGAGTTCTCAGGCAAGGAATGCGACAACCAGTTCCTCATCTGTGAACATATGGAGCGCTGTTTCGCTCAAGGACCTGGACAGGATATGGTGGAGAGCACTAAGATCATCGGAACTGCTGTATTTGAAGGAGCTTGGGTGAGTTAAATCATTTCTTGCAATAAGATTTCTAGCACTAACTGTGGGAGAGCCATGCTTCGGCACGATTGGGCCGGCTCGACCGGAGTGATACCACCAACGAGCAGAAAATCGACGTGAAGCAACGCTTGCATTGTGTTTCATCGTGTGAGTGAGATTACCGGAGGCCCAATTACCCTTCCCTTCCCCAATCTCCCCAATTCCTCCTTGCTTAGCATCAGTTGATCCGTTTGCTCGTTTACCGGCTTTAATTTTGCATGATTTAGGTACACTTTTTTATATTATTGGTCTTGTGATTTTCAGGAGGTACTGAACACTCCTAATGAAGAACTGGAAGAGCTGATTGGAAGAATTTCAGTTCGCCATCAATTTATGAAGATGGATGAACAGACTGTTCCCAAGTATAATACGATTGAACAAACCTTTGATAATGTGAGTAATTATCTAACAGTTGAAATTATGGAAAGAGGCTGAGGGATGTGTATGTTTTAATATTTCTATGGCTTCGTTTCTAGGATAACATGGTAAAAGGATGTGTACCAGCATTGGGGTACAGTTTCGCATCAGGAACTGTAGATGGAGCCAATACGATGAACATTACACAGGTAATTTTTACAAAAACTTGAAATATCCTAGATGAAAGACTTATAAGACTTCTAATCCTTACTATTATAAATGGGAAAGTGAGTTTGTTTGTTTGTTCCGCTTTCACGCCGTAACTTCTAAACAGATTGCTTTGAATTTTTGCAGATGTAAAATTAGAAGTCAGGATTAAATAATAGGGTACTTTATATCCCGGAAAATTTTGGTATTCCCGAGGGAAAACAAAAGAATTGGTATAGATGGCGCTGTGTGTATTGGTATAGGCTACTTTTATCCTTTTGTGACGCGAGCAAAGCCGCGGGTAAAAGCTAGTCGTATATAATCGTCTTCCAACTAATAATGATGATAATGGTCAAATCAGATCACCCTTCAGATATTTTGTCATCATTTTATCTCGTGATTTTTGATCTTGAACTTCCACAGGGTACATTGGAACCTATGCCGATCTTGGGCTTCATCGCCAGCCTCATCGGTGCAGCCACGGATGAAGACAAGGACTGCCATTATCCCAAACCCATCTTGCTGGCTACTGGACGGGTCAGTATCATAATACTTGTGTCACTACAAACACCACATGTTCAAGTAGGTACAGTCAAGCATCGAAGTATCAACTCACTGAGATTCACGAAGTAATTTTTTTGCGACACTGAAGAATGTCTTGGACTTTAATATCGTAACCGAATAAATCAGAAGATATTTTTACAGGGACGAAGAAAAAACCCAAGGGTTATCACTTCCTTCGGTTTTTTTATTAACGAAACAAATAGGCAATTACGAAGTAGTACTTATTGTCAGGTTAATTAAGTTTAAATCAAAAAAGACTCCAAATAATATTTATCTTCCAGGCAAATTTCCCCCTCCCATGGCATCCTCACATCATATCAGCCTCTGTGGTCTGGTTAGGCAGTCTGGCCATCCTAGGAGTACCAGGGGAACCGACCACCATGGCCGGCAGACGTATGAGGGCAGCCGTCGGTCAGCTGATAGCAAGCAGGGGAATTGAACCTAAGGTCCTCGTCTCCGGCCTGACGAACGAGTACATACATTATGTGACCACCTATGAAGAGTATCAGGTAAATTCTGAATAATTGGGAAGTGTCTTAGATGTCATGGTATGAATGGGCGGCTTGACCGGAGTGATTCGTCGATATATATTTATGTATGTATTTATACCTATATATTTTATGCATATGACTATAGGTATATACTATTTACTATTATATAATATATATGTCGGAGATACGCTACCCGTGGGTCGCGACATTGTCGAATCACACCAAAATACCAAATTACTGATAATAGTAAGAACGCAGGAAGTTTAGCAGGGAGTAACGCTTCTAGCTGCCGCCACCGCCGCGATCCTTTCCAAAAGTGTTTCCCGCGCTCAGTGACGTCTGTCAACGTCATGCGCTGTCAAATGTCAAAGTCTGATTAAACTTCCGGATCGATATTTCCATCAGTGTTGCCATTACTCCGCGCTAACCATCCTCAAGTAATTACTTGACGTTCTCAAACAATAGTTGCCACATCTAAATTAATTGATATGCGTCGACGCTTCGACACGGCCGTCCTGATGATCACACGTCCTCGTGTGGAGTACCTGGAAAGGAATAACATTCCCGAATACTCATAACAGTCGTTCGGCCATTCCTGGCCCAAGTAGAGGGAAAAGGTACTTTGGTAATCATTATAGGGGATAACGAAAATAGCAAATTCTTTCTCTCAAGACTAACATGTTGAACAAACTCATATTCCTTCAAGTAATAGGACACTCTTTTAAATATTGCAGTGCTCATACTCTGACCTCCATCCGGTCATCATCATCACACTTATAACCTCCATCCGGTCATAAGCATCGAACCAATCGACCTCCACCCGGTCTTCAACACGTAACCTCTATCCGGTTACTAACACAACAGGCAACCTCTATCCGGTCACCTTCACCATGTAACCTTCATCCGGTTACAAAACACTACAGGCAACCTCTATCCGGCCACCTTTACATGTAACCTCCATCCGGTTACAAAACACAACAGGCAACCTCTATCCGGCCACCTCCACATGTAACCTCCATCCGGTTACAAAACACAACAGGCAACCACTATCCGGCCACCTCCACATGTAACCTCCATCCGGTTACAAAACACAACAGGCAACCTCTATCCGGCCACCTCCACATGTAACCTCCATCCGGTTACAAAACACAACAGGCAACCACTATCCGGCCACCTCCACATGTAACCTCCATCCGGTTACAAAACACAACAGGCAACCTCTATCCGGCCACCTCCACATGTAACCTCCATCCGGTTACAAAACACAACACCCTCAAGATAATCATTTCGAGCCTTTATCAAAATTAATTTTTAAAGTAGGTTTGTTCATCATGTTACTTTGTTTTTCACGTTACAATACGATATTACAATAGATTATAACAAAATTCTTACTGTGCTAGGTACATTTTACGTTGAAAGCATTCAACAAGCTATGTCGGTGTTATCGTCATCGTCATGGCTAGTTTCGTCATCGTCACCTACATGTATGTCAACGTCTGTAATTTTTCGCAGTCGGTCATGTGCATACTTGTACGTCCGGGCGGAAGAAAGAGACTTCAAAACGTACCGATCACCATCCAGAACCTCGATCACCCTAAACGGTCCCTTGTATTTGGGATCAAGTTTCGTCTGGTTCCGCTCCTCATTTTGCAGCAAAACAAAGTCACCTACAGAGAATGACTGTACTTTAGCCTTCGTAGAATCGAAACGTTGCTTGTCATAGGCAGAAGCTTTCTCCATGTTCTCAACAGCCATTTTTCTCACCTCAATGATGTCGACATGAGGCTCTTCATCATTTGCCGTCATAATATCGATAGGTCTAGCTGTCTTACCAATCAGTAGCTCGAGTGGACTAGCTTTCGTGACTCTACTTACGGTACAGTTGAGGGCAAGTTGAACGTCGGGCAACGCATCCTGCCACGAGCGATTGCTTGTTTCTACAGCAGTGAGCATGTTTTTGAGCGTGCTCATCACTCGTTCAACTTGTCCGTTGGCACGAGAACTACCTGTGGCGACCAAGTGTAGCTTGATATTAACTGAAGCACAGTACTCCCTGAACTCCTTGCCAGCGAAGCAGCGCCCTTGATCGGCGATCAAGCGCGAAGGAGCACCGAAGATAGCGACATTAGCCTTCAGCGCTCTGATGCTGCTTGCTGTATCAATGTGCAGGGTGTGATGCAGCATAACAAATTTGGTGAAGGCGTCTATTACAACGAAAACGTACTCCTTTTTGTTGTTTTTGCCACTCAGTTTCCCGGTAGCGTCGATGTGCAACGTGTGCCATGGTATAGCTACCTTTGGAATTGGGTGCATCTCCGCCTGGACCTTACCTGTGTGTGACTTTGAAATCTTACAGGTCACACAGTTCTCTACGAATTTTCTCACAAACTTCGACATGTTCTCGAACCAGTAGAGGTCGTAGAGTTTTTCCAGCGTTTTCTCCCAACCCAAATGCAGCAATCCCTCGTGAACGTTATTAACAACGGACCAGCGGAAGGAACGGGGAACAATAGGTAACCAACGATTTTTACCATTTCGTTGCACTTTTCGATGCAGGACACCGGATCGTCGCTCGTAAGTTTTGGCAACATCAACAGGGAGCTCATTGGTATCGATGTCAGCCAAGAGCTTTAAAATCTCAGGGTCACGTTGCTGTTCCATCATCAGCCAATTTTGCGATAGCTCTGCGAGGTTTACCTCCTTAAGTACTACCTTCTCACTAACCTTGTTTTTAGTTTCAGCTGGCGGTAATGGGTTCCTGGAGAAGAAGTCGGCGTGGCACATGTTTTTACCTTCACGATGGACAATGTCAAAATCGAATCCTTGTAGAAAGGCCCACCACCGATGAACACGAGGCGTCAGGTCCAACTTCTTGCGTGTGGACTGCAGGGAATTACAATCGGTGACTACTCTGAACTTGCGACCATGGAGATAACGCCTAAAATGTTTTACGGCATTGACCACCGCGAGGGTCTCGAGTTCATACGAGTGGTACTTCGATTCGGCGTCAGACGTACGCTTGCTGTAGTAGGCGACTGGGTGTAGCTTACCTTCTTTTCTTTGCAGTAACACCGCACCGTAGCCTACGGCACTGGCATCCGTGTGAACTTCAGTTTCAGCATCAGGGTCATGGATCATGAGCACAGGCTCATTTGTGAGAGCGGTTACAATTTTCTGCCTAACTTCCTCGTGTTCCGGCTTCCAGGTCAACTTACCATTCCCAGAAGTCAGGGCATATAACGGCGCCATCACCTGTGAGAACCGTGCCACGAATTGGCGAAAGTATGACGCCAAACCGATAAATTGCCGTAGCTGTGTCACAGTCTCAGGCGGTGGTAGTGCCGTTAATGCTTCAATCTTACGTGGATTAGGACGAATCTCTCCGCGGTTAACCTCAAACCCTAAGTACTCTACCTTTTGTTTCAGAAAAGTACACTTTTTAAAGTTGATGGTAAAACCCTTTTCAGACAACACCTTAAGGACAATATTAAGACGTTCCAAGGCTTCGTCAACGTCACATGCAACAATCAAGACGTCATCCATATACACAACGACATAAGTGTTCACAAGATCTCCAAGAGCATTTATCATCGCACGCTGAAAAACCGCGGGTGCATTCTTCAAGCCAAATGGCATCGTCAGGTATTCGAAATGACCATCGGGGGTAACAAAGGCGGTGCTCTCAATAGATTCTGTTGCAATGGGGATCTGGTGAAAACCTGATGCCAAATCGATGGTGGAAAAGTAGTGTCCTCCATGCAATCTATCAATTTGATCCGATATAAGAGGCAAAGGGAAACGATCAGAGATTGTGTTGTCATTTAATTCACGATAATCGACGCATAGTCGAAGAGACTTATCCTTTTTCTCCACCAAGAGTATAGGACTCGCGTAAGGGGATGAACTAGGCCTTATAATACCAGCCTGAAGCAACTCGTCAATTTTACCACGTACAACCTTACGCTCTTCCACACTCAATCGATAAGGACGTCGATTTACAGTTTTACTTGTATCCTTCAGACGAATCTGCATTGGCTGCGTATCGGCTGGTGCAGTAGGTATACCTGTAGTGAAAGATTTCTCAAAGGCCTGCAAGGTACTAACTAACTCTTTTCTACGATCCGCTGGTATGTCAGTATCAATAGAGTTCCAGTCAATTTCAGGGGTTCGCTCTACCTCACAAGAAGCAATAAAAAGAGACCTAAAGATCTTAACTCGGTCACTAGTCAACTGTACAGTCAAACCATGTTCTAGAATCTCACGTCCAATCATAATACCATAACGTAGAAGATGATCAGACAATATATGAAAACAAACCTCAATATTAATATCATCAATCTCTACCAAAGTTAAAATCTGTATTGTTGAGTTAACGGAAGTCTGCCCTATCCCAGTCATAGTCACAGTCTCATTAATACGCTTTCCTTTAAATTTACAGGCTATTGATTCTTTTATTAATGAACACTCAGCACCAGAGTCATAATAAAATGGAAATTTCTCACCGGAGTGACATAGAGTTCCAGTCGGTGCGTTCAAGAGGCACAGGTCAACCCTCTTCTCATTGACAGGCTTGGAAGACCCGGAGTCAGCACTGCTCCTCTCGGTGCGCCGTGGACAGCTTGATGCGTAGTGGCCTTGCGCATGGCAGTGGAAGCAGGTGATCCCAGATGCACGAGGCTTCGCAGTTGCTGATGAACCTCTCCCATTGCCACTGGTGTGGTTGTGGTGCTTCGGAGTAGCTTGATTATCCTGTTTCACACCCTTATGGTAGCATTGCACGGATTTGTGACCTGGCTTACCACAGATGAAACACTTCAGAGGCTTCTCAGAGTTATTCACCCTGTATCGCTTCTCAGGGGCATCCCGGTCATCACTAGGTACCTTTCTTTTCATAAAAGAAACAGCTTGTAGCTCTTGTTGTAGCTGGCCACGTGTCTGAATATGGTCGTGAAAGATAAGCGTTGCACACGGCGATCAAATTGAGAAATGTGAGCCAATATAGTAGCAATAGCCAAACGTTCAGTGCTAAGACCATTCCATCTTGCCATGATCGACGACATTAAACCAGCAGCGTAGGAAGCAAGACACTCGTTTTCTTTAGGCCTGCTGCTTTGCAAATCAATCATGAACGAAGCAATAGTAGCGGAATTATCGTACCTTGCAATAAAAAGTCGCTTAAAATCGGTCCACGTCATACCAGGATACGACACGGTAGATAGCCAGGTAGAAGCTCCTCCCTTCAAGGCGCGACTTAGAGCAACCATAAGCGGGGCGCCATGCTGGACTTGGTTCGTCAAACACATCTCTGCAGTCGTCACCCAAGCACGTGCATCCACATCTTGTTTTTCAGGATCGAAATCGGGTAAACGAAAGCCATGTGACGGCAAAGTAGGTGTTTTCATAGCTTCAATCAGCGTCAGAAAATTGCGGTTCTGTTGTTCTAACAGACGCATCCATTTTTCGTCACTAGCTTCATTACGAACGCGTGAGTCGTCGTCGTGGTCCAATCCCACTTCTGATGTCGGAGATACGCTACCCGTGGGTCGCGACATTGTCGAATCACACCAAAATACCAAATTACTGATAATAGTAAGAACGCAGGAAGTTTAGCAGGGAGTAACGCTTCTAGCTGCCGCCACCGCCGCGATCCTTTCCAAAAGTGTTTCCCGCGCTCAGTGACGTCTGTCAACGTCATGCGCTGTCAAATGTCAAAGTCTGATTAAACTTCCGGATCGATATTTCCATCAGTGTTGCCATTACTCCGCGCTAACCATCCTCAAGTAATTACTTGACGTTCTCAAACAATAGTTGCCACATCTAAATTAATTGATATGCGTCGACGCTTCGACATATATGTATAACTATATTATTTAATAATTACCATTATTTTTTCCTCTCTCTCTCTCTCTCTCTCTCTCTCTCTCTGTTGTTAGTTTATTCTCCGTACCTTAGTTTTCACAGATTTTCAACTTAACCCTAAGGTTGACTGGTAGAGAATGCCATATGGCATTAAGTTCGCCTTATGTGCCATAAACAAATTATTTACATTAAAGAATAAATAAATAAATACCATGGCCTCACAGGATACTGGTATGGAGATCGCTGTTTAATAGGATCAGGTTTATCAGAGAGTACTACTGTCCAGTTTCTGATGAGTTTATAATCCTTTAGTCAGCTCATACGACAAGAGTAGGGGTGGAGATATATACTATTCTACTCGTCCATCGCCACACGGCGATTCAACCGTTATTACTTTAAAATTAAGATGGATTTTTGTGTAACAGTAGAATCAATCCCTCCAGGTACAACGGTACGAGGCAGCGTCCACTCTGTATGGACCGCACACACTCGACGTATTCATCAACAAGTTCGTCGAACTCACTACTGCTATTATTGAGGTAAGTACAATATTAGTATAGGTACAATTTCAAATAGTAATAAAACTTTGTTCATGTTGAACCAGGCTCATTGTCTTCGTTATTGGTAGTTGTCCGGATACATAGTGGTCAAATGACAACCTGGTAACAACAAAAAATCACAGTTCACCAGCGCCATCCGTCTACTGCTGAACTATGGGTCCTGTAAAAGAGGGATTTGGCACATCACATCACAATAACAACCATCATTTGTGTCACACCTTTATGCATAGCATTAAGGTCACTCTATAAAAACTTCCACGACCTCACATCTCTAAGGATCCTCTTAATCATTTCTTTCCCCAGGAAAAAGAAGTAGATGCTGGTCCATCTCCACCCGATCATAGAAACCGCATCCTGTCTCTGATCACGCCAGTAGTGTTGGACTCCAGTCCCCTCCGCCAAAGCTTTGGAGACTGCGTCATACAGCCACCAGCTCGCGTGAGGAGAGGAGATGTCGTCTCCGCTACTTTCGTAAGAAAATATTTTTATATTTTGATATCTTCATCCCCTTATTCTATTTGAGGAGTTCAGAGCTTTTTGTATCATATTCGACTGTGTATGATACTTACGGTCAAATGGAACTTAGATAAAGATTTTGCTATTTAAAGGACCTCGAAGCGGAAATGCTGTCCAGTAGATTATAAGTCCCTTAAAAGACATATCATATATTACGACATCCGTGAATCTGAACTCATGAAAAATTGTGATACAAAAAATATAGAAGCATTGATCGCTTGCATATACGTGTGATAGTACCCTCAATATAATGTCAAATGGTTTCTAGGTGGGTGCAAATCCTCGCAACGACTTGAAACACGAAGAGAGTCACGCCGCAGTGGAGCGGCTGGAGCTGACGGAGTGGGTGCAGGTCGCCAACGACGCCGACTGGGACACCGTGTAAGTACCTCTTATTGACTGCCCACTACTGGACCATGGTCCTCCTTTCACATAAGAGGGGTTTCCTATATCTCCTCACTTGGGTCGAGACTTGGGTGAGATCGCGGTTTAAATGGCTTAGGGTTTAGCATTGAAAGGTTCACGGCACTGTGCCCAGTCTTTGTCAAATGTCTCTTAGTCGGCTCTTACGACAGGATTAGGAATACAAATTCTGCTGTACCGTCACCATACTGCAAAACGAGTTTCGCTGAAAGTAACGTTTCATTTCCTTTGCAAAGCAGAAAGTGTTACTATCTAACCGAACATAGGGTTTTTTTTAAAATAAATAGAGTGATTCTTAAGGAAGGTTTATAAGTATAACACATGCATTTTGCACCCGTACGAAGCCGGGGCGGGTCGGCTTCTATATGCTTTTCTCCTAGTGGGTATTTAAGTAATCCTTCTGTTTCCAGGTTCCGATGGGAACGTATGTCCTTATTAAGAGGAACGAGTCAGGCGACCTTCGAGTGGAGAGTGCCGGAGGACGCCATACTGACGCGGTACCGCATCGTGTACCACGGCGCCGCGCGAGCCATACGGGGGGCCCTCACGCCCTTCCGGGGAGTCAGCAATGAATTTGAACTTTATTAACGGTACTATTAAATAGATAAATTGAGTAGTGTTAGTTGATATCAATTAGATAAATTATTGTTTGGCAAATTATTATGTTTTCGGCTTAGTCAGGTAATAATTTGACGAGGAATTCGACTAGTTTCAAGCCATGCTAGAGGCTTATATTCATGAGCAGCATTTCGCGACCCGCGACGCGGCGACTGTCGCGCTGCTACTGTCTGACTAGTCGAAAACTAACTAGTAGAGAAAACTAGTCGAGTTCCTCGTCAAATTATTAAATGAGTAAACCGAAAACATAATAATTTATTTAGTATGTCTCACGAAAGTTACAATACAAATATTGTTTGGCAGTTAAATCTTAGCAGGTAGGTACTAGTTACTCTATATCTGTACCAAAATTTACCAATATAAGTAAGTATAGTCGTTTTAGTGTAAATATGTGAAAGATATACCGAGGAGTATACGTAGTTAATTTCGCAGCTTTATAATATTTATAGAGATTTAATGGGAACCAATGTAAATGAAAAACTGTATTTCGTAGCAGCTACGACATAAACTTTAAATTTTTGAAATCATATTCGCTACGTACGACTAAGTCAAAGTCAAAGGTAAAATCATTTATTTCAATTAGATCAAGAAGGTAAATTAACTAAAGATCACGGGTTACTCACGTGAATATACTGAGAAAAGCTCTACTAGTTTCGAACCACAGAGGGGTTCTTCCTCATGAGCAGCGTGCGCGGTCGTGGCGATGTGCGAAACTAGTAGAGCTTTTCTCAGTATATTCACGCGAGAAACCCGCGATTTTTAGTTAATTTAGTATGTCTCTCGATAGTTATTATAAAAACCAAGAAGGTACTTTTGAACGTCAAAAAAAAATACTGAAATATTAAAGAAAAAAAATGACAGTCTGTCGTTCAGTCCTCTAGTGAAGCTATTTGCGTTAAGCGACGTAGCAGGTTCACAATTTCACATACCGCTTCGAAAATAAAATAGTAAATGTATTATCTAAGTTCTATGTATTTAATACTCATGTTTCTTTATTAGAGGAAATAACTTATAGTTGAAATGTCAAGAAAATAGGGTAGATGACTAATTTCTGGTAGATTATTATAAATCATTAGACACGTATTTTTTATTTTTTACATAAACTATAATACTTTCGACGATATATAGATTTGAAATGTCGCGTGACGTCACTTCTATGTATGTACATTTTATACGTAGAAATGACGTTTTAGCCCCCACTACTAAACTTTGATTCGTTATATCTAAGTATTGTTTTATTGTACGACAAAATAAAAAAAACACGTGTCTAATATTTTTTCATTACCTAACTTACGGACTAATTAGATTTTTAATTTTCATACCCTGTCATCATCCCTATTATACTAGTTATTAACTAGGTTTTGTTTACTAACGCCCGAATGCTGAAAGACTCAATTTTAAATAGTACTTAAATATCGTGTCATCTCTGTCGTTTTACAAAGAATTTGTAGAGACAGAACTATAGTTAAGCACGCTTAAACTAAACGCTGACCTAAACTTGAGTAGCGTTTGAGGATTCGGGCGGTAGTAAAGTAAAGTCAGGTAATATGTATATTGTAACCCAAAATGGGAGTTAAATATATAATGGTGTAAGTCGCTCGCTGACAATGTAGTTGTTGTATAGAAATGGTTAAAATATACCCTTTGTAAATATGTTTTTATTTTTACGTTGTATATACTTACTAGACTAATAAATTTCCAACATAAGGAAAGGAAAAAATAAATAAATATGTACAACTTAAGATACACTATAATTCCTAATCCCCAAAAGGCCGGTTATGCACATGTAACGCCTCTGGTGTTCCAGGTGTCCATGAGCGACGCCGATTGCTTTCAGGTGATCCGTCTGCTCGTTTACCGGCTTAAAACATAAAAAAAATAACTAAAAGATAAAAATTAAATAAAAGATAAAGAAAATACTTACTAGATATTTTTATTATTAACTCGTCGAGTACCGGTTTTATAGACACAATTAAAGAACAATAGGTCGCGGTCACCGGTGACCGCTTGGTGTTTGACAGTTTAATACAACTGCCTCGTTGGCCGAGTGGTCGCAAGCGTGACTGCTGCAAAGATCTCGGGTTCGATTCCCGGGTCGGGCAAAGTAGTACTGGGTTTAAAAAAAAATCTCTACAGTAGCACGGAGGCTGGAATTGTGCCCTGTATATGGCAATAGTCTCACCCCCTATTACATGAGACTCATAACATAAATAGTGAAAAGTGAGTGTTAGATTGTACAGTGGTTTAAGTACTGCCTACCCCTTCGGGGATAAAAGGGAAAAGAATGTTATGTTACGTTAATATAAACGTGTATCTAAATTTAGAGTACCTAAATTAAAAACTATACTTAGAGTGTATAGTTTAATTACTTAGGTGTTATATTCGTGTTTAGTTCATATTGTGAATAGATATTATTATACAAATTTTAATGTACATTTTAGTGTTTATTTACTTTTTACGCTCCTGAATTCCTCATAATCCTGTCCCATTAAGAATCTAAATATGTACCTATAGTTTATGAGTGGGAGGTCGTTACGTCACGCTACCCTATAAAATGTAGTAAATCGTGACGTCGGTAAAATGTAGTAAATCGTGACGTCTTACTATATTTCAAATCAATATATCATCGGAGGTACTTAATTTTGTAAGAAAAGAAAAATTCCGTTTTCTTATAGCATAAGCCGGTAAACGAGCAGACGGATCACCTGATGGTAAGCAATCGGCGCCGCCCATGGATACCCGGAACACTAAGGCGTTACAAGTGCGTTAGCGGCCTTTTGGGAACGTGTCCAATGTTTAAAAAAAATCTATCAGACGGATATTAAAAAAATTTAGGATACTACCCTTTTGGAGCGAAATAACGTTAGCGTTGTTTCACGCTGGTTTCGTGAGGCCGTGGTATCACTCCGGTCGAGCCGGTCCAGTACTACCGAAGAATGGTTCTTCTGTTTTATATTACCTACATAATAATTTACCAAGATTCAATACCACACGTAACTAGATGCTAATTTCTCGTAACACACAATATTTGACAGAAAAACGTAACACCATAACACAAAGTGTATCAATTTCCAACTCTCTCACCTAGTGCATAAGATTACTCTTTCAATGACAACTTGTGGTATTTGTGGCTAACGTCTAAATATACTAAACATCTTTTATTTGCTACTGAATGAGCAGTTTCCTTGTTGCTGTTTAGGCTTGTTGTGTTGTTAAAGTAGTATGCTATATAAATCTCGAGCGTACGGCGCCGAGCGTTCGGCGCGCGCCTCAAAGAGTCATCAGAGTGCCAATCACGAATAACTATCGCATTCGTATCGTAACAGTATCGAGCGAGTTAAGCGTTCTGATTGGTTGGTTCACTTGAGCCGGCCAATCAGAGCGCCGTGCTTGGCCCTCAGACCACCACGGATGAGGCCCAACAGGGCTGATGCCGATACGGAGCCGAATCAGCAGCACTTAATGCCACTGTACAATGTAACACCCACTTTTCACTATTTATGTTATGAGTCTCATATAATAGCGGGTGAGCCTATTACCATATACCGGACACAATTCCAGACTTCGTGCTACTATTGAGAATCAAGTTCTCCAGACTTAACGGGTAACCGGGGCTCCGGCTCGACGTGCAGGAGAAGGAACTGGGTGGTTTTTAGTCAGTAAGATTACCACTCCCTCACACCGCACTAAGGCGGGACAAGTAATTCGACAATCCCCCCCATCCCCCTATAAAAAAGTGCTATACAAAAACACTAAAGAGAAAAGACTAATGCATTAGTTTTTATTTCCTGAAGGGTTACCTAGAGAGAGATGTCGATATCTCTATTATATTCCACGACTTCCAAAGGATGTGCTGTTACAAGCATTGAACAGTAGCTGAGGTCGCGGGCGAGGATAGACATATACAGCGCCACTAGGTAGGCCTAGACACGGGGTGGTCATAGTACCTAAGGTGAAGAATGGACCCATCATCTCATATTCTCTAGTCTTTCTCACTAAAAGTTAGTCTATTGAAGATTTTCCCGATATACGATCATAGGAATCGTTTTCAAATTAGGAAAAATGAAATAACAATTTAAAAACATTACCTCATGGTAAGCAATCGGCGTCGCCCATGGACACCTGGAACACCAGAGGCGTTACAAGTGCATAACCGGCCTTTTGGGGATTAGGAGTTTGAGGATCGTTAGGGATTCAGGAATTGGGGAGATTGGGGAAGGGGAAGGTAATTGGGCCTCCGGTACCCTCACTCATACGACGAACCACAACGCAAGCATTGCTTCACTTCTGTTTTCTACTCGGCCGTGGTATGTCCGGTCGAGCCGGCCCATTCGTGCCGAAGCATGGCTCTCCCACACTTATAAACTGAACATACTAAATTAAATAAAAACGCGGGTTACTCACGTGAATATACTCAAAAAAAGTTCTACTAGTTTCGAGCCACAGACGGTCTCTTCCTCATGAGCAGCCTACCTAGCCTTAGTAGGCTGCGCGACATCACCTTGCCTCGCATTAGTTATCTAATAAAACACACTTTGTTATTCTGCAGACAACGGTACCTTTTAAATCCCATTGTCAGTATATTCAACTTTGGATACAACTAGCGACATCTCTTGTACACATTTAGAAACAAACACGACATTATTTTTGTTGTTATTCAGATAATGGAGGGAATAAACAGTCGTTATCCATTTTAACGCATAATGGCATTAAATTATGTGATAACATTTATGACTTTATATGATAAACAAAGTAATTTTGTTTGATCATTGTGTAGCCATTATATGTGTATTTTTAACTATGTATATAGCTGTATCATGCCTGATACAGCTATGCAGGATAGTCTGCCGACTATCCTAGTGAATAGGGTCAACTTTTTGGTCTTTCTACTAATATAGAGGTAGGTTCTATGTATGCAGTACAGGTCCTTTGAAAGTGTTGTTTTATCAAAAAAGTTAGTAGTTACATCATACTTAATAAAAAAAGCGGTTAACAAATAGTTTATTAAAATTATTTTTAATGGGTTAGGCTGGTAAACGAGCAGACGTATCACCTGAAGGTAAGCAATCAGTGCCGCCAATGGACCTGAAACACTATAGGCGTTACAAGTGCGTAACCGGTCTTTTGGGGATTAGGAATTCGAGGAGTATGTGGGGACGTTGGGGAGAAAGGTAAGGTAGTTGGGCCTCCGGTAACCTACGCTGAAACACAACGCTAGCGTTGTTTCACGTCGGTTTTCTGTTCGGCAGTGGTATCGCTCCGGTCGAGTCGAAGCACGGCTCTCCCTCACTTAATTATACACCATTTCTTTTTAATAGGAGTGGGTTGTGATAGGAGTGGATTATACTCCATAACATGCTTAGAATTCTAATCAATAACATGGGTAGGTCTTTTGACTGATACAAAAACTAACAGGGTCCTGCCTGTCCTTAGCCTTTGTGCTTTTGGGCCCTCAATTAAACCTGTAACTGTCGACAAAAAGTATTGAAGACTAATCCTCCATTAGCGTCAGTCATTATTGTCCGACACGGCATCCAACGTGTTAACGAGGTAGTCCAAAAAATACCCAAGCGACACCTACTGACGTCAAAATTTAATAAATATATTTATCAACACTGCCTCGTTGGCCGAGTGGTCGTAAGTATGAATGCCGGGCAAGGGGTCTCGGGTTCGATTCCCGGGTCGAGCAAAGTATTACTGGGTTTGTAAAAAATCTCAGTAGTAGCACGGAGTCTGGAAACGTGCCCGGTATTTGGCAATAGGCTCAGCCCCTATTACATGGGACTCATAACATAAATAGTGAAAAGTGGGTGTTACTTCTGTGTGCACCACTGCGTACCTCTTCGGGGATAAAAGACGTGATGTTATGTATGTATGTACATTTATCAACAGATTAGCTTTAAATAGCTTAGCTAATCTATACACAACAAGCTTAGCGTTTTGAACGAGAGACGAGCGAAATGAACCAATCGGATGGTAGCAAAACAAAATTAAATGAAGTTAGTTACTTTCCGAGTTTCCTTGCAAAACAACGCTTACGTTACAGTGCAAAGGAATAAACACATTTAACATACATTCCCGCTTTAGTTCGTAAATTATTATAACAGTTTTGAATATAACAAGCAATGGTTAATGTTTTGGGTGATTAGATAATAATGTTTTTGATAGTTTTTCTCAGCTTGTTTCTGGTGATAAGTTAGGGGTCATAAACTTTTGATAAAGACAACTTGTTATGTAATTAGTTAGTGTCGAGTCTAACAGTTGTGTGTGAGCTGTGTTTAAGATTTGAAGGTACGTACGTGTGGTTTCTTCATGCTCCTACATTTATGGAAATTGTAAATAATTATTGTTGTAGTGAATGAATAGGCAGCCAATGTTTGTGCTTAAGCTGAGTTTTATGTTAGTGTCGGAAATGTTTACAAAATATGAATAACTAGCGCCCCGGCTTCGCATGGGTGCAATATGCATGTATTATACATATAAACCTTCCTTAATAATATCTATATATATTAAAAAATACCGCATCAAGATCCGTTGCGTAGTTTTAAAGATTTAAGCATACATAGGGACAGGCGGACGGCGGATAGCGACTTTGTTTTATACTATGTAGTGATGGTCAAACAGTGGTTCTGTGTGATTCTTCAAAAATAATTAACAAAATGTAATAACGTCATTAACCTCAAGCCAAAGTTAACAAATTTGATGGTTGAAAGTGAAATTGTGATTTAGTAAAATTAAATTATGCCCTTGGTCTCAAGCAATGAAATAAAAATATTGATGGTAGTAAGATACTTAACAACGTATGAGATTAATGATATCTATACTAATATTATAAAGATGAAGAGTTTGTTTTTTGTTTGAACGCGCTAATCTCCGAAACTACTGGTCCGATTTGAAAAATTCTTTCTGTTTTGGATAGCCCATTTATCAAGGAAGGCTATAGGCTATAAAATATCACGCTATGATTAATAGGCGCCGAGCAGAGCGAGTGAAATCGCGCGGAAGTAGGTAGTGTTAAATAAATGTTAAGGTTTTTTTGGAAATGTACTCATCTTCACTATTTAATTTGATGTCTAATTTAACCAGTTCACGTTCTTTTAGAAGATAATTTAGGTACGTAGTTATACATTACAATATCGACAGTAGTTGTAAAGGACGACAATGTAAATTACAGATGTCTGCTACCAAGCCTATAACAAAGAAGATTATAAACTCCCCGGAGACATGCGTGGACGACAACCTGCGCGGCGTGGTGGCCACCTACCCGTCACTACAGCTCCATCCTAGACACAGGGTCATCACTGTCCGGCAAAAGGTCAGCTCATATTTATCTACTAAAATTTCTTCCCATCTAAGTTTTCGGTGGCTTAGCCTCATGATAACTGCTAAGCGTGGAGAATAATTATGTTCACCAAATAAAGAGGCATTCTTCTTTCTTCTTTCATATAGGATAAAGTGTGTAGTGATAAAGTGTTGACGTTTCAAAAGTACCAAACTATGGTTTAATTGAAATAAATGCTTTGACTTTGACTTTGTAATTGAGGTTTGTCAAAAGGTTTAAAAAATAGAACCAGAAATTATATTCAATTCTTGGTAATGAAGTCGTCGTATTTCGTATGGACCTCTAAACACCACCTAATTACCACTTCTGCTCACTCTATCCAGAAATAAAAGATTGAATAATTCCATTTTCAGACTGACACTGGGAGGGTAGCCGTTCTTGGAGGGGGTGGTTCAGGACATGAGCCTTTCGCCGCTGGTAAGAAAAACACTAAAAGGGACTTTTGTTCGTTACATTTAAAAAATCTGACTGCCTCGTTGGCCAAGTGGTCGCAAGTGCGACTGCCGGGCAAGGGGTCTCGGGTTCGATTCCCGGGTCGAGCAAAGTATTACTTGGATTTAAAAAAATCTCAGTAGTAGCACGGAGTCTGGAATTGTGCCCGGTATATGGCAATAGGCTCACCCCCTATTACATAGGACTCATAACATAAATAGTGAAAATTGGGTGTTACATTGTACAGTGGCATAATGTGCACCTCTGCCTACCCCTTCGGGGATAAAAGGCGTGATGTTATGATGATGATTTAAAAAAACTTGTATCGCTTAATAGTACCTACTTACATAAGTATTCTAAACTTAATCATCATTACTTTTTAATATTTAATTAAGTTAAAGTTGGTGGTAAGTAGCTAATGTGACTGATTTTTTCCTTAGGTTTCGTGGGTTCTGGTATGCTGGACGGCGCAGTAGCTGGTGGTGTATTCGCTTCTCCTCCGACTGGACACGTTCTCTACGCCATTGCACAGCTGTACAAGTATAATACAGGTGACAATAGTTTTCAAAATTTATTAGAAAAAATCTATTAGACGTAAATCTATTTCGAACTATATCTAGTGTGGCGACACATGTTACATGTCAACGGATGACGTCATAAAATCCTACATCGCACATGCGAAGTTTACAATCGAATTAACACGAGTAGAAAATCCCAACGAAAAACTGTCGGGCAGAAAGCCCGCCAGGCACAATCACCTCGCCTGGTCGGAGGATCCTCCTATTCCGATCTTAGGGAACTATACTCTCTGTTCCCTAAACTAGTTAGTTCCAGGAGGACTTAAGTTTTTCAAAATTGTGCTTATTTGAGATAAAAAATTCCCATATAATAGTGTTTGTTAACACCTTAAATATAACATTACTAACCTAATGCTTATATAAAAGACTGCCTCGTTGGCGGAGTAGCCTCGGGTTCGATTTCCGGGTCGGGCAAAGAATTACAGGGATTTTAAATTTTTTAAATTCTCAGCAGTAGCACGAAGTCTGGAATTGTGCCCAGTATATGGCAATAGGCTCACCCGCTACTGCATGAGACGCATAATATAAATAGTGAATAGTGGTTGTTACATTGGCGTAGTGCAGTAATGTGCACCTCTGCATACTCCTTCGGGGATAAAAAGGCGTGATATTATGTTATGTGCTTATATAATATTATAATTTCAAGGTGGTGTCCTAGTCATTATCGGAAACTACACAGGAGACAGATTAAATTTCGGAAAAGCTATAGAAAAGGCCAAGATTTCAGGAATAAAGGTCAGTTTGGTAAACTTCAGTTTTTCTTATCCTTCCAAAAGTGGTGAGGTCTTGATATAAATTTTGTGCCAACAGGTGGAAGGTCTGATTGTGGGTGAAGATGTGGCTTCCAGCAAGAACAAGACTGGAGGACGCAGTATGGTGGGAGAGGTGCTCTTCTATAAGGTATGATCAAGTCTAGATATCTTTCTTAATTCTAAGATAACAAATATCGGATCGTGTGGGTTACCGGAATTTAATGACCCTCAATAATATGACATTATAAACTAATAAAGCACCTTTAAAGGCAGCGGGCGTCGCGAAGAACCTAACGGGTTACCGGGGCTCCGTCTCGACGTGCAGTAGAAGGAACGGGGTGGTTTTTAGTCAGTAAGAGTCTGACACTCCCTCCCGCCTCAGCCAGGCGGGAGCAGTCATTCGATGATTTTCCCCCCTTAAAAAAAGGCGGCGGGCGTATAACACGTTCCTGATGCTCATTTATACAGTTTTATCGACAAATCAAACAATTGATTCGTTGTTCTTCAGTTAGCTGGAGCGTTATCACTGAGAGGTTACGAGCTGACTGCTATCAGCGACGAGGCGGGGGAGTTCAGCAAATACATGGCTACCCTCGGCGTCTGCCTCAGTGCCTGCTCATTACCTGGTAAGGAAAATCTTCCTTTACGCTACATGAGAATGAAATAGCATAGACCTAAGAACCATTGAGGCAAACCGTTAGTGAAAATTCCTTCTTTCTAACGCTTTATCGGGAATTGGACCTGTCGACAATCAGTATTGGCAGACTGCAGGCTTTTATTACACTACATAACATAGCATAACATAACATCACGCCTTTTTATCCCCGAAGGGGTAGGCAGAGGTGCACATTTTTCGGCACTTAATGCGACTGTACAATGTAACACCCCTGTTTTCACTGTTTATGTTATGAGGCCCATGCCCCTATACTTATTATAATCTTTGGTCCCATGTAACAGGGGGTGAGCTTATTGCCATATACCGGACACATTTCCAGACTCCGTGCTAGTACTGAGAATTTAAAAACCCAGTTATAATTTGCCCGACCCGGGAATCGAACCCCACATTGTACACATTCAACTACATTCAACTGCGAAAATTCCATAGGTATTAGGTACATTAAAATAAATATAGTAAATTAGACAGAAACAACACTTTGAATATTTCTAGTAAACATAAGCAGTTCAACGGTTCAATATATTGACTATAGTAACCGTTTTTCTTTCCCTAGGTCAGCCACCGCTGTTCGAAATAGCCTCTGATGAGATGGAGCTCGGTGCAGGAGTACACGGAGAGGCCGGCATTGAGAAGATGAAGATGGGCACTGCTAAGGAAGTAGTCGGCATGATACTTAACCAAGTAACCATTGAACTTCATAAATTTAAATTGATTTTACTAACAGAGACTTCGGGATATTTATGCAAAATATTTTCTATCGCTTTTCTCTTTCAGATTATTTCACACCTTAAGCTGGTTGGTGGAAATAGAGTTATCGCGATGGTTGACAACTTAGGAGGCACTTCCGTGTTTGAGATGAACATTATTAGCGCTGAAATTAAGGAGCAACTAGGTATGCTTTACCAAACAACTTTTATTGAGAGATGTTTTTAAGAGATTCGTGTAAAATTTTCAAAGCAAAATATTTCAATCTTTATTTCTAATATATCCTGACTGACTTCGGCTACATACGACTTGACTTCGATTATAGAGACCATCTGTATAATCTCTTGGTAGACTCAACACACTTTTCTTGATTTAAATGAAAGTCAAAATGTAGTTGAGAATAATAATTTGTATTGTAAAATAATAAATTGAGTGAGCGCTAATGCGTGAGTGCTAATGCGTGAGTGCTAATGCGAATTATGAGAACGCACGGCGGACTTGATTGCTCGATACGAACTGAAATTATTTAGGTACCTAATTATACGATACGATGCGTAAAAATGCTGACTTTAAATGTGTACGGTTGCACCATACACCATCGCTAAAATATTATTGTATTCACACAGTCGGTTCTTCGGTGAATTTACTTGTTCCAAAGGCATAGAAGTTTCCAAATAATAAGCATCATTATTCTTCGTCACTCTGCAGAAAATAAGAACATCAAAGTCGAACGCATATTCTCTGGACACTTCAAGACTTCTTTAGAGATGCAAGGCTTCCAGATTTGTCTCCTAAATTTGAATAAAGAGAAGGGGGATCTATGGCTGGAACTGTTGGACGCGCCCACTGCAGCTAGTGCGTGGAGTGGAGGACTACTGTCTGTAAGGAGTGAGGGGGAGGAGGGACATGGAGATGACGATACATTGCTACAGGCTGGTGGGAGGAAGGTATGATAATTTTGATAGAAAATAGAGACGTGAGAAGTAGAAGATTTGTACTTTTGTGCATAAATTAGTTTCTGTTGCTTAAAAAAACTATTCATCACCAATCACAATCATTGACCCTTTTCCATCCATTGCTGGACAGGAATTTTACCTCTCCAATGGCACGCCACTGAGTCTGATCTTCAGCTTTATTGGTGTAGGTTGGATCCGTAGAAAAGCCATTGTTTTTATTTATTTTACTTACTTTGAATTAAGGTGAACACGTGGTTTTTTGCAGTTAACTTGATCTATACTTTTTACTACAGGCCATTTTACGATAGGTAATGTTCCATTTCAGAGTGCATCAGGCCCATCTCTTACACTCAAACAACAGGAACTGTTCCGTGGTAGCTTACTAGCGGCTGCAGAAGACCTCATCAAGAATGAGGCGTTACTAAATAAGTTGGATTCAGGATGTGGCGATGGTGACTGTGGGATTACTCTCAAGAACTTTGGTTTGGGTGAGTTGTGGGGTATGCGACCCAGAAATGAAATGACGTCGAAATGACATTAAACCTCCGAAGAATAATCATTCAAACTCGAATTTTCGTTCGTGCGGATTGTGCAATTAGAGTAAGGTTCCGAAAATTTAGACGTCAAACAGTACATCTCATACTAATTTCTGGCTTGTTTCATTCCTTTTTCGTTCGTATTATATGTCATTGTGGTAGGTAATCTTCGAAGTTTCGTCCGAAACTTCGTTTTTCGTCGAATCAGAGAAGACCTACTGGAGTCATTTTAGATGGTTAGAAGTCTCTAATGTTTTTATTCGCTTCTAGACAAATAGAGTTTCCCACAAGTCCCCTCCATGATGACAATCAAACTATAAATACTAAGTTCTAAATGTGAAAATACTGACTAGGCTTTCGAAATGAACTGTTAGATTCGCTGTGTCAAGCAAACGATTTATTCCTAGTTTTTTCTTTGCTACATTATACATATAAACCACAGGTTTATTCTTTCTTCTTTAGGAGTAATTTGGAACTAATGATGTTTTTGCAGCAATACAATCATATTTGAAGACAGCATCAGTAGAGTACCCATCGAACGTGCTATGGGATTTATCAGAGATCGCGGAGACTGACATGGGAGGCACGTCTGGCGGGATCTACAGCTTGGGACTGGCTGCTGCTTCTCAAGCTTTGGCTAGGTAAGTAGTAATCATCATTACCATCATCATCAGCCAGAAGACTTCTTCTGTTGAGCAATGACTTCTCCCTTCGTCCTTCATACTGAGTGGCAATTCTCCAATTGTATTTTACTACGTGCTGTTTCTATTTATGCTACATCTGTTTTCTGATCCTTGGTGTTCACAGACCAAGGGGAGGTTTTGATCTACCGAACGAGTGAAGTGTAGATAGAAGACGAGTATAGCATATCTGACTTTGATTAGAGTTATGAGGCTGGTCTCTAAACTTTTGAACGCCAGAGCAAAAACACATGAACCTGCCCTCAACGCCAAGCCACAAATTCCGCGCAAATTTCTACGGAAGAAATGGGGATTCCAATAGGAAATCAAATTGTTGATTTCGTGTTTTCGTTTCCACTTTTTCTGTCATGTATTGTGTCGTTGGTGTCCAGGGACAGTTTTCACTTGTCACATATGTGATATTGGCGCTCAAAAGGCTAATAAAGACCCTGATCAGTACCCTGATGCGTGTCAGAGCTGTTCTTCCAATGGTCTTAAACTTTGTCTGACATACAGAACTAGTAAAAAGTAGGTTTGCAACAATCACACTTCCGCCCATTCTTTAAAGGACTAAATGTTATGGCCCACAAAGTAAACTAAAGTATTGCATTATAAACTATTCGACTATAACGCATCCTGTTATTTTAGCGAAGAAATTATTTCTATACGATGTTGATATAACATATTAAAATCAATGAATTACCACTTTACATTATGTTCAACTAGTCTATCATTACTCAAGAGACTAGGAAGACCTTAGATTATGTCTTTTACTTACATATTTTTACTGTTCTGTGTTTTCAGTGCTGAATCAATAGATGTTAGCTCATGGATGAAAGCCTGGGATAGTGGTATGCATGCTATCTCTAAATATGGAGGAGCTGAACCTGGAGATAGAACCATGGTAAGTGCAAGAATTACTAGTCTGGCCCACAAAAGCTGCCCAATAAAGTTGACTCCAATTTTAATAACATAAAGAGTTGTTAGACTTGGCCCATTTTTCGATAACAACTTCTTGATTAACTTCCTTATATCCGTTCTTACAGGGCTAAAAGCTCTTGATTTTTTAAAATTAACGCCATTCTTCTTGTATGGCTTTCGTTGGCAAGATTCTATTAATTAAGATTTGTAGGTAATAAATTCGTGTTATAAGTAGTTTGTTTTCGATAATGTCCATACAATAATTTCAGACCATGTGCTTTTTTACCAACAATTTTGGAAAATATAATAATTTCATAAAAAATACAAATAGGTAATTTCGAATTCCGAAATGGAGTCTGAGTTTCACAGCTCGACTGTGTGGCACTTGCAAAAATCCGCCCAACGATATTCATATTTCAAATTTTCTTTTAACATTTTAATGACAGTCTTTCAAGGGGATCTCATAATGAATTATGAAGCTGATGAAACTCCTGAATATAGGTAGTCGTTTTGTTAATAAATAATAATTTTAATTTATTACAGTTAGACACACTACACAGTGCATCAAAGACGTTCAGACACAACCTGAATACTGACCTGAGAGTGTTGTTCAAGAAGACCGTGGATGCGTCAGAAGAAGGAGCTAAAGCCACAGCTAAAATGGTTGCTAGGTGACTATGATTTTCTTATCATTTTATTTCCTGATTTTAGGCATTTTGTGAAGTGTGTTTAATGTCTTTCTGATTTCTTAGCTAATCGAATAGTTCAGTTTAACTCATATATCAGTTAATGTGTAATTCTTAAACTTCTTTGTGAGGTTAGTTGAAGATACAATTTTGTTACAAGAAATGGTCGAGAGGTTAGATAACATAACACATAACATACCACCACGCCTTTTATCTCCGAAGGGGTAGGCAGAGGTGCACACAGAAGTAACACCCACTTTTTACTATTTATGTTATGAGTCCCATGTAATAGGGGGTGAGCCTATTGCCATATACCGGGCACATTTCCAGACTCCGTGCTACTACTGAGATTTTTTTTAAAACTCTGTACTTAATACTTTGCCTGTCCCGGGAATCGAACTTGCCACCACTCGGCCATCGAGGCCGTTTAGATATAATAATCTCAAACTATAAGTTACAATAACATCGATTACAATTTTATTTATGTCTTTCTGCTTTCTCGTAAATAATGCCTAATGGTCCCCCCACAGAGCGGGCCGTGCGTCGTACGTGTCGCCGCAGTACGTGCAGGACGAGGACGCCGGCGCGCGCGCCGCCGCGCTCTGGCTCAAGGCCATGCTCACGCACATTGGGGAACATGCGTGACAACTGAACATAATACACTATACACAATTTCAACTTGTATAATTAATTATGAAAGAAAGTGGAATGATAATTCTAGTACAAGCAGGTAATATGAGTGCGATACTAATTGATACATGTGTGTACATTTAAGTATATAAGTACTAATTGTATGATACTTTTATATTTATGACAATAAATATTGTGATGATATATCTGATTGTTTTTTTTTTATCTTTTTAAACACCGAACCGACAACAGGACGACGATGATATTATTTTATTGCTATTTCATCTCGATTTTCTTAATACTAGACGATTTTGAAAGACAATACATTCTTATGTAGTTAGAAGAAGAAAGAAAGAAAGAAACATTGTTTATTTACACCGTCACAAAATACAATGAAAAAAAATGTTAAAAATTGTGAAGACGGCGCAAAAAGGCCAGAATTCAGCTTAAATGCCGTGACGCGAGCGCAATGAGCTGGAGTCGCGACGCTGATTTTCAATTCAACACTAGCCCTGCCCTAACCTAGCCTTGATTTTCAGCAGTTAGCGTGTATAGGTAGATCTCTAAGATGAATTAACCGCTTAAATGCACCGATATGAGCCACAATAGAATATACATTGTGTCCCGCGTGGATCCACATTTATACACAAGAAAGGTTGAGAATAACTTTTTAGTTATAGCAATATTCGACGAATGGAGTTTCTTGCTCGTTCTTCTCCATTCGAATCTACTTTTTGGAATAAGCACCTAGCTTCACCTAGTTTCACTGACGGACTGACTGACAGACTATTATTTATTTTGTATTTGTTGACGTTTCAAAAGTACCAAACTGTGGTTTAATTGAAATAAATGCTTTGACTTTGACTTAATACAGTCGAAACTTCTACTAATGATAATTATTGCCTACAAGGATTTTTTACTACAAAACCAAACACAGTCATAACAATAAATTGTTCTTTAATGATCACAGTGGCAACATCTGGTCTAATTGAACTAATATTATATAATATATAATTAATATATAAATTCATGTCACTCTCCGCTTCATACGCCTCCATGCACTACACAGTGAATTAGTAATAACAAAATAACTATTATTAAAGTTACATTTAGTTATATGTTATTATATTACATTTTTATAATAACTATCTTGAGACATACTGAATTAACTAAAATTACGGTTTACATAACATCACGCCTTTTTATTCCCGAAGGGATAGGCAGAGGTGCACATTTCGGCACCTGTACAATGTAACACCCACTTTTCACTTTTTATGTCATGAGTCCCATGTAATGTCGGGTGAGCCTATTGCCATATACCGGGCACATTTCCAATTACGGTTTAATCACGAAATTTTCTTTTTTTATACTTGATAGGTCGATGTTTGGGCAATGAGCACGCCCACCTATGAGCAACCTGTTCACTCGGGACTTGAAGACACCCAAGTTATATTTGTCGGGAAATACAGATTCAGGCAAGGAGTTTCATTCCTTAGCTAAGTCCGTACATGTAGTTCATAAGGAAGAGTCCTTCTGCAATTCTAACTATGAGCTTTTCTCAGTATATTAACATGATTAAACCGTTATTTTCAGTTAATTCAGCATTAGATTTGTTTCAAAGGTATTTTTAAACCATTGAATTTATTAATGTATTATATTAAAACGGTTTTATACAGAATTACATTGACACAGCTTGATTAGTTTAAAACCAATAAAGAATAAAACAGAAATACAGTCTGAACGGGATTTCAGCTTCGAAGATACAGAACAAAATCACTGATGCACAATTCAGTGCAAGTCTAACTTGTATTACGTTTTTTTAAAGACAGTTATTATAAATATATGTTCTTACAAGTACGTTTTAAACTATGAAGTGAGATATTGAAAGAAACTGCTACTTCGAAGCCAAAATCAATTATATTCACACTTTACAATCCATTTTTAAATTATGTAAACATTCATACATATTTAAACGGCTTTAATATATAAACTGGATTATGAAACAAAAAAGACATTATTGGTTTTATACATACATATATGTCACGATCAAAGCTACATAGTTGAAACATGATCTATATGTCTGGATTCATGTTTTTTTATGGAATAGGAGGCAAACGAGCAGACGGATCACCTGATCGTAAGCGATTAGCGCCGCCCATGGACACCCGCAACACCAGAAGAGTCACAGGTGCGTTGCCGGCCTTTTAAAAAGGAATACGCTCCTTTTATGAAGGTCGTATCAGTTCGGAAATACTGCCGACGACAATATGTTCGTATACTTAGTGTTGGAAGAGAAATACTAAACGATAGCTAAGTCGGAAGTATTCTGCAATTTTAAACTTTATAAAAGTAATTGTTCATAACCCATAACTTTAAAAATATATTAAAAATCAAGTCAAAGAAGTATGTAAGGTTTGTATAAGGCTTTCTATGGTTTCTGCTTACCCTTATGGGACAAAGGCATGAGTATATGTAAATGCTACCAAATAGTCTACTCAGATCTATATGTATATTAAAATGTAAACATATATAAGTTATAAACAATAATCCTAGCGACAATTCTACTACATATAATAACAATATAATATACAATATTTCAAAATACATATATATTTATTAATTACTTTTACATATAACAATTATTGCGTCTTGCGATGGCAGTATGTATTATAAAGTATCTGTAAATATTTATATTTTTATATTAAAACTATTTATGTTAGAATTTCTTTAGTATTCGGGAAGACGTCTTAGATCCGCTAGTACAACCTGCATTCGGTAGTTATATTGATAATATCAACCTTATTGCTTACGTCAATAGGACGCATAACACATACCTTGTCTTTGAGATTGTCGACTTTACTACAAACATACAAAGTTAAAAATGTATTGACAAATCTGCACAGAAATAACTCGCAGTTATTTCATGAGTAAATCATTATTTTCAGTTAAATATCACTATATCGCTCACGTGATATTATTCAAGAGAGACAAAACATATTACTTTTTAAATACACGTATTTTTTCCAAACACTAATTATCGTTATTGTAAAAAGATCCTTACCTAATAAGCAACAAGGTTGACATTGACAATATTGTTACGGTGTATGTGTCTATGTCACCTGCGTGTGCGCAGGAGGCGTAATATCAGAGTAGGAGTGTGGGGACGCTAGAAGTCCCACTCCGTTGTCTTCTCTATCTCCATCTCTGATAACTTCTCTTGGAGGAGGAGAGCTGACATATCACCTGTGAAAAGTACAGTAAAATTATCACTTTGTGAAAGGTTTGGTAAGATTTTATTGTTAACAAATATTAAAGCCACTATTTTAAGCTAGAGAAAACAAAGTGTGGGAGAGCCATGCTTCGGCACGAATGGGTCGGCTCGACCGGAGTGATACCACGGCTGAGCAGAGTGCCAAGCACGAATAACTATCGCATTCGTATCGTCACAGTATCGAGCTAGTTAACCGTTCTGATTGGTTGGTGCACTTGAGCCGGCCAATCAGAGCGCCGAACGCGCTCAATACTAAATGCACAATAATATTACGTTACGCCGTTTCTGACTCTTAGGGCCGATTTTAAATCATCAGTGGATTCTTAACTGTAGAACCAAATTTACATTTGACAGTATTTATTATGGAAGAATTGTCAAATATTCAAAGTTATTCCTCTGATAACATTTAACTAGCTTTAGAAAAATCGGCCTTAAGTTCTGTAAATAGATAAATAACTCACTGAGATCAGGTTTAATAGGTTTGACTCGTCCGATGAGTCCGGGCAGGTAGTCTGTCTTCCTGATCTGCTTGAAGAATGGGTGGTTCAGGAGCTGAGTCGCTGAAGGTCGCTTGTCGGGCTCCCTGGGATTTTAAACATTTCTATATTATTCACGAACACGTACATAGATGTCGTCACGTCATGTTTAACATCGTGGTAGGCAAATACAGTGAGACACCAATAATGGCAAAAACAATGGTATACCAAATAAACTCAGGCTAACTTTACTTGTAAACAAAAATTATTTCTGAATTAGTTGCTATATCCTTACTTCCTTACTAATATTATAAATCGGAAAGTGAGTTTGTTTGTTTGTTCCGCTTTCACACCGTGACTACTAAACCGATTTCTTTGAATTTTTACAGACATAAAGTTAGAAGTCCAGATTAAACAATAGGGTACTTTTTATTCCGGAAAAATGTGACATTCCCGAGGGAAAACAAAAGTATTGGTATAGATGGCGCTGTGTGTATTAGTATATGTCACATTGGCTTTTTATCCTTCTGTGACGCGAGCGAAGCCGCGGGTAAAAGCAAGTGTAGCAATAAATCACATCAGCTGAAAGACATCACATACACGCTTAGCTAGTTATACATAATTATAAATTATGGCTATTTTTAGTTGTCTTCCAAGACAGACTAAGTACGGAACTCGGAGGCTGAGTGTCTGGGGATGTAAGAACTCAACACAATAGTAAAAGATTTGAAAACTTTCGCACCTCTGCAGCGCCATCTCGCTGAGATGATGGAAGGTGTCAGATAGTTTCCTGGCCGCGTACAGTTGACGCAGACGCATCACTCCGTCCGCACTGTCGCCCACTCCACTGTCTGTGTTGTACATACCTAGGAGAGGCAAGTGTTTATTTATCTAATGACCTATATTTTAGCGAAATTCAATAAAAGGTCCTCAATTGAGATGATGACAGGATATGAAAACTAAAAATCTAATTAGTCCGTAAGTTAGGTAATGAAAAAATATTAGACACGTATTTTTTTATTTTGTCGTATACTAAAACGATACTTAGATAAAACGAATCAAAGTTTAGGAGTGGGGCTAAAACATTATTTCTACGTATAAAATGTACATAGAAGTGACGTCACGCGACATTTCAAATCAATATATCGTCGAAAGTATACGTTTCTGTAAGAAAATAAAAAATACGTATCTTATGATTTAAAATAATCTACCAAACGGACATTAAAATAAAAATTAGCATCTACCCTATTTGACTATATTTTTTTTATGTGTTTCTGCTTTGACATATTACCATGACATAGCTTATTAGCTATTAACATGCAACGTGTATTCACTTTGAACTTAAAAGTTTGATTGATAGGTAACTAGGGTAATTCCTATTATTATCGACTAAGGTCGTAGATAAGTATAAGATAAGCACAAGAGTTTTACTTTAACTCGTCGAGTACCGGTTTTATAGACACAATTAAAGAACAATAGGTCGCGGTCACCGGTGACCGCTTGGTGTTTGACAGTTTAAATAGCAATAAAAGACATTATTATTAGTAAAATACTTACTCTTCATCTCCGAATCATCTAGACAGGGCTCCGGGAAGGTAGAGCAGTCCAATAGTTGCGGCCGACTCCCGCGCACCTTCTCCGTGAACATCAGAGTTGTAGGAACCTCTGCAAACGGCACCGCTCCATTGGCTAGCTCGCAACATAGCACGCCCAGAGAATATATGTCCGATTTCTCATCGTAGCCTTTTAGATTCTGAAATTAAAGATAAAATGTTAATGTGAGTAGCAATTTTAAAAACAAATAATTTACTGACTAAACAGGATATTTGTAATCAGTTGCTGACCTCAACTAACATGATGGAAGAACAGTGCCTTTAACCAAATACCACTTTAGCGCTTGTCTACGAGTAGAAATCAAAATGTATGGGGATGACACTGACAACTGTCAAAATTTACGTCAATTCCATATAATTTGGTTTTCTACTCTACAAGTAGACAAGCGCTAAATGGCATTTGGCTACAGCTGCTGGTCAGATTTTTAAATATAAGCCTCACACACAACAGATATTTGTTAATTAGTTAAATTTTTAATAATACGGTATTTGACAAGTATAGTAAAATTCAATTTTTTCGATCTATCAAAAACGACAGAGGCATTAGTACGAGTTTGATTTAATCGTTACGAGTACGCGTTCGGCGCTCTGATTGGTTGCTTCATTGGCGCCGGCACACAACAAACTCGTACAAAAGGCCTCAGTTTTCTATGCATTTTGTACGAGATTGTGAATTGTGACGTCACGTTTTTTAGCGTCAAACAGCGTACTTATTTCTTTAAAATTTACTGAAAAAATACTAAAATTAAGTTAGTCATAAAATCAATTAATGAAAATGTGATTATTTTTTTAATACTTTATTGTATTGAACAGTCAAAATAATTTTTGTCCTTTGATTTTTGATTAAGGAACCAATTAGAAAATTTTCAATAAACCAGTACTACTATCTTCCCAATACCTGTTCCAGCAGTTCAGGACTAAGCCACATGAGGTTGGTGTTGTCCGCATCAGGTGGAGGCAGTTGGTGCAGGTGTCTCTGTCTTCGGCCGCGGACCATCAAGGACGCCGCACTGCGGAGACCTGATAGACGGACACCACCGTTTGCACCTACTAATACGTGACTGGCACGAACGCTCCTGAAAGTAGATGAAGAATTGAACGCCGTTGATCTTGATACCAATTAACAACAAGACTAACAGTTCAAAGAAGTCCGCTGCCGAACATGACACTCCTTCCCCTACATAAAAGCAGGAGTCGAGGGTTTGGCTCTGGTTTATAATAAATGTGTAGGTGCTGTAATGTTCCATCTAACGGCCTGCGATTTAATATGCTTTTTTATTTATTTATCATTTTATGTGCAATCATACAGAAAGAAGAAAGAAAATGCATTTATTTGCCCATTGGCACACGAAAACAAGGATCATTACAATAGAAAAAAAAATACAGTGAAAATAAAAACAAAGCATTAATAATAATTCTTATAAAAGAGAAAAGAGATGAACAAATGTCATTAAAACATAACAAAATATAATTAGAATAATAACCGAAACTAAAAAAAACTAAAAACAAAATATATATATATATATATAAAACAAGGAACGAGATATAAAAATAATAAAGTTTACAATCCCAGATTTAATGCTGAATGCTTTAGCTTCCATCTTGTCAGTCTTATTTTTGTGTATCCTTCCAAAAAAAATTGCATAATACTTAATTGTCTTAACTATAATAATAACGTAACATCATGCCTTTTATCCCCGAAGGAGTAGAGAGGTGCACATTACAGCACTTAATGCCATTGTACAATGCACAAACCACATTTTACTATTTATGTCATGAGTCCTATGTAACAGGGGGTGAACCTATTGTCATATACCGAGCCCAATTCCAGACTCTGTGCTACTACTGAGATTTTTTTTAGAAACCCAGTAATACTTTGCCCCACCCGAGAATTTAACCCGAGCCCCTTGGCCGACAGTCACACTTGGAACCACTCAGCTAACGAGGCAGTGTAAAATATACTATAATAATAATTGTATAAAATAATAGCAACAGTGTTTACCAACAGAGCGATGTGAAAAGGTTTATCTTGATTAGGTACTCGTCGAGTACCGGTTTTATAGACACAATTAAAGAACAATAGGTCGCGGTCACCGGTGACCGCTTGGTGTTTGACAGTTTAAAACACATTAATGATATCCAACTGTTAACTAGTTAGTTCTTAATGAGCAAACCATAATTTATCAATATCTAAGTAACTACATAATTTGCTGTTTCCATCTTAATTTTGTTTATCTTTATATGTTTTTGTTTATTTATTTCCAGACGGTATGATTTTATTGTCCTTAGTGTCATTTTCTTTGACTGTATCTTGGTGTTACATTGTTTTCACACAATTGGACCAATAAAACTATGTAACTTAAGAATTGTATTGTGAACCTGATTGAAAAACCTATGGAGTTTCTTGCTCGTTTTTCTCCATAGGAATCTACACCTTGGAATCAGAGCAAATAGCTTCAGTTTAAATTTTTAGTTTTCGTTCAGAAGTACCTTTCTCGTCTAATTGAAATAAATGATTTTGACTTTTGACTTCTAGAAACATATAGAATTTCTATCATCATGATCGTCCTCATCGTCTTGTCTGAATACCACATTGTACACACACAATTTTATAACTACTTTATTTTACTTCTATTTAGGAATAACATAAATACTAATTTATTGTATTACAATGTCTCGACTTTGACCTAGCATTGAATAGTAGAATCATCTTAAATTATAATTTTATGACTGAAAAGAGGAAAACATTGTAAAAAGGCCATAATACAATGAAGCATTCTCATAGTTTTGTTTACTGTTCAATATTTCTTCTTATATTATCATCATCTTAAGATTTTCAGAGAAGATAAACTTTAGCTACTGTGGAGCATAGGTAGGTATTTTGAAAATTCGAGAAACTTTATATATCCTTACTAATGTTATAAATCGGAAAGTGAGTTTGTTTGTTTGTTCCGCTTTCACGTCGTAACTAATAAACCAATTGCTTTAAATTATTGCAGATGTAAAAAATAATAAGGTATTTTTTGTCCCGAAAAATTTAAAAAAGCTAGTAATTAATAAACCCCAATAAAAGTTGCACAACCTGGAAAACAAACCTCTTTGCTCTGCATTTGGTAGTCACAAATTGTAATCGCTCAACAAATGAGGCAGGCAATTAGAACATTTGTACTATATTGTCTATTACAAAAAATAAAATAAATATAATAATGCATAAACCCACCTATGAATATATAATTGTTTGTGCAAATACTGTAAAGCTTGGAGTACATCTCTCAGCACAAGAGCGCAAGCCAGCTCCGGTAGACCTTCTTGGAAGTAGTGGTCCAGGATATCACGACAGGAGCCAAACGTCATGAGCGGAGACACTACGTACAACTCCTTGCCATGTACGAAAGACGTTAGGTACGGTAGTATGTTTGCGTGTTGTAGTTCCTTCCTTGTGAGGATGTCTTGCTGAAAATTTATGATAGCATTGTTGATAGACAGAAATAGTTTACTGTATACTGTTTTAAAGGAAGTGGTACGCTGACTTTAAATGTTGATCAATAGGTATGAATTTTACAATGTGTGTGGAAATTATAACTACAGATTTTAGCTATTTGATTGTTTATTTCATAAAATTGTAGCCAAAGAGATATGTAAGAATGGTAGCAATTGGTTGTTCCATAGCCTCTGCCTACTGCATACAAAACAAAATGTTAATGTTAGTTTTATCAAATTATAGTCATAAAATAACATTGTAGTGTATTTACATCAACTGTTGACATGGAAACAGGACAAATTATAACACTCATATTCATAGAAGACTGAGCTCAAAAGTTTACAAGATGTTCTGTCTCAGATAAGTAGGTACCAATAACTTTTGGCTATGGCTATATGTACCTACTATGTGTATTTTATTAGGAAAGGAGTGCCCTTTAGAAGCCCTTGATTGACCTACAAACTGTATTTTTTAAACATTTACAAAAAAAAATTGGTAACAGTCTGTTAATGAGACTGAATACTAATTGTTTGTCGATTTGCGTTTAATTTAATGTAAGAGAAAGATTAAAATGCTTTTAAACACATACCTGTATCAAGCTGGCGTTTTCCTTCGTTTTGTCAACAAAATACCTCTTGATGGCGACATTTTGATTATTAGGTTTATAAAGCGCTGAATAAACAACGGCTACGCCTCCACAGCACTCTGTTATTATCGAAGTAAGTTGATAGTCATTGATATCAGGGTTAAACATTTTAATTCGATCAAAAATACTTATCGAAGTTTGTAAATATGCTAATCAAATGCTCAATTCGTCAACAACACATAATGAAAAAAGATCTAATAGTTTAAAAACAGTATTTATTTTAAACGAGAGTGTTGTAATAAAGTAAATAATTAACAAAATAAAACTGGTCAATGTTTTTATTGTTTGACAATTAGTGCGTTCCAGTTCACGTTCACTGACTTAACTGCAAAATATTGACATTCGTCTTTGAGTAGGTCGTTTTTGACATGAAATCGTAATTTATTATTGTATATTTTTAATAGTTTTATTTCTAAAAATAATAAATAAAATATTAAAAGTATAGGTATAATTTATATAATCAGTAAATCAGGAACATATTCTTCATGGTAAATGTCACATTTGTCAAATACATTTTTATTCGGTAGTGGAACGCAGCTGAAAGGATGATATGGTTTTGACGTGAGTTGTAATGTGGCTAGTATAGAAATAAATCTTATTTTCGATTATTTGTTTTATTTTTACATTACAAAAAGACTGAACAATAATTCTAAAACATTTAACACTAATAATTTTAGAAGCAAATTAACTAATACTTAATTTCGATTCGATGGAATAAAAACAAAATGCATCGCATTTAGAAATAAAGGCTGGCAATAAATTTTCGTGCTGAGAGACGTCAGAGCGAAAATTCAAAATTGAAAAATTAACTGCAAAGATGAGACAAAAACGAGAGCAAACAGTATTATAAGTTTTAAGCGAAGGCGAGAGAGATGTGCTTTGTTTCAGTTTTGCATTGTTGATGGTGAAATTGAGTCTTAACTTCTTATTTATTGTTTTGTTAACTTTTAATTGTATTTTAATTTTTAAACTGACGTGATTTGTGAAATATTCTTCGTCGAAATGGATTACTACCACAACTGCGTAATGGAACACTATTATTATCAAAATAAGGTAGGATTTATGTATCTATGTTCTTTTGTGTAAGACTAAGTATACCTACCCGCTTACCGGTTAATTGTTGTTGAAAAAACAAGTGAAATAAGTACATATTACTTGCTTGAATCATTGCCTATATTTTGCAAAGCATGCATATTTATCATACGAAGCTAACAAAGCTTACTTTTTATGATTTGCTACATAAATTGCTTAGGTACTAGGTCTCAGAAGTAGATTAGATAGGTACCTACGTACTATCTTGCTCTATCAGTATGTAGGTACGTATATTCTTTCGTCCTCCTTTTACTGTTTTACTAAGTCTAGGCAATAGTTAATTAGGATTAAAATCATCTTCGTTTATTTTTGGAAAATAATGACAAGTTTGTTTGTTTTTGGGTAGCTAACTAAAACAGAATATTGTACCTAAATAGATACTTTACTTCAAAATTCAAAGCACAATTTTTGGTACTAAAATGTGTAATTTTATTACCTCTCGCGTCCGGCTGTAGTGCGGGCCATGATGCGGAGCGAGGGGGACTGGGGTGCCGTCTCCTCCTTTTGCGAAGCAGTCATGCTAGCTAAGGAGGAGGCGGGACGCATGAGGCAGCGAAGCGCTGCCACCTCACAACCCAGCCGTCGCGAAGGACACTCCGGGCGTCGGGGATCGCGAGACGATCTCCGGCCACCGTAAGCGCGGGCCTGCGGATGGCGAGCATGGGTGGCTCGCCGCCCGACCAGAACCAGGTCCGAGCGTACACCGCGTCGCGTTTCGCGCACGCCTCAAAGAGCCATCAGACCACCACGGATGGGGCCCAATAGGGCTGATGCCGATACGGAGTCGCGAAGAAACTAACGGGTTACCGGGGCTACGGCTCGAAGTAGGAACGGGGTGGTTTTTAGTCAGTAAGAGTCTGACACTCCCTCCCGCCTAACCCAGGCGGGAGCAGTCATTCGATGATTTTCCCCCTTAAAAAACTTAAAAAAACGGCTCTGGTTCGAAAGGTAGGAGTAGGATGTTTTTAGTGGGTGGTTTTTAGCCAGCAAGAGTCTAACACTCCCTCTCGCCTCACCCGGGCAAGAGAAGACATTGCATGATTTTACCCCTTAAAAGAAACTTATTTTTATGGGATAAGCCGGTAAACGAGCAGACGGATCACCTAATGGTAATCAATTGGCGCCGCCCATGGACACCTGAAACACCTGAGGAGTTACAAGTGCGTTATCGACCTTTTGAAAAAATACGAGTTACCTACTCATGTAAATATACTGAGAAAAGTTCTACTAGTTACGAGTCACAGAGGGACTCTTCCTCATAAGCAGCGTGCCTCCACTCTTCCCGCGAAGTTCCTAGTAAGGACTTAAGATACAAATGTCATGCGACGGGACGCGAAAGATAGACGAACATATGTACCTACCAACACTAACAATCATAATGTTACCGAATAAAATTACGCCAAAAGAAGTGTTATTCGCTTAGTTACCTAATAAATATCTTTACTTTTATATTAATTAGGCTAAGTAGTTCGTGGTCGAAATGATAAATTACTACGATACTATTTTTTTAAAATTCCTTGAGCAAAAGTGCATTGTCCTCCAGGATTCGAATAACTTTTGTAGCAAAATATATAGTCACGCAGTGAGACTGCATTGCAGTGAAATTAAAATGTGCAATCGTCCGGGATGGCAACCCTTTATCTACGTATCAATGTGCTATTTTTAAAATAAATGTTTATAGAAATGTTTGTAAAAATCCGTAAGTTTGTGTTTGTTACTCCATCATGTCAAAACGGCTGAACGGATCGTGATGAGATTGAGAGCAGGGGTTTTATGGGTTGGAATAACATAGACTACTTTTTATCGTATGGGAACGCGCGCGAAGAAGAAGCCGGTGTGCGATAAGTCATTGAGTTTAGAGAGATTAAGAATATTTTTTTAAACTTTACTTACCACCACACTAAGCATTTCTCCTGTGTCGTAGGTGCGTTTACAAACATACAAGTTCACATACACATGACACCTAGACCCGAAACAACAATTTGTGGATCACACAAAGAGTTGCTCTGTTCGGGAATCGCACCCGCGACTAGTATTAGTAAGCAGCTTTACGGATTGCCTGAACAAGTACAATGCTGGCCGTAAAGGGATCAGTGATCAGTAACGTGCCTAATAAAATATTGTGTTCCATGCCAATAGTTCGGTATCCCTGATATAGGTTAAGTAGCGTGTAAGGAGTACTTAAAGAACTAAAGAGGGTTGGCGCTAGCATACATGCATGTGTGTGTAAGATTTCTGTTCATTAATGGTAGTTAGGAAAGATTACGTTTTTGTGTTTTGAACATGATTATCTAAAACAAAGTTTTGAACAGTTTTGAAATGGGATGAATAGTGTTGAAAAAACGGATTACCTACAGCAATAGAAACTGCCATCGATACATTATGGTGAGTCCGCATTTGGTGAGTGTGTCGCTCGTGCGCACCTCACGATATGCACACGAATAATTCCGACAGTTGGCAGTGTTGATTTTGACTATGTCTAGACATTGAAGCCGGTTCTAACTTCTGGCTTACGCTGAATAGCTGGCGTTCTATCCTGACATCCTGTAATGTATTGTAAATTTCGTGAGACATACTAAAAAAAAATATTATGTTTTCGGCTTACTCACGTAGTAATTCGACGAGGAACTCGACTAGTTTCAAGCCATGCTAGAGGCTCTTAAGAATTACTACGTAAGCCGAAAACATAATAATTTATCCTGTGATGTCTTGAAATTAATATTATTTTTAATTAGTGACCCATTTAATTAGTAATCGTAAAAACTAGAGGTATATAAATTTTGTTTAACTTTACTAAGATTGCTAATAAACTATTTCAATATTCATGTGATTAATATAAAAAAGTATCGCGACATCTGAATATTACGAATGCGTAAGACACCTCAAGGTTATTTATGGGTATTTTTGTCTTGATACAAGATGTGTAATGATCTGAGCTAAGCCAGAGATGAACCTATTATAGGGTTTTCAAAACGATTGACACCGTTAAGGTGATTGGTAATTTTTTTACCAAGACTCAATGCAACTACTTATATGTATAATCACCCAAAGTACGTGGTGTGTTTGCCTGCTATGCACTGAGCTTAATATTAGGCTATGGTTCCATGCCACCACTATGCCTACCCATGATTTCATTGACGATATTGCGAGACGAAATACTCATCAAAAAAGTTTTAAGTAAGTGTTTTTCTTCTATTTTGGTTTTCTTTTATTGTGCATAAACCACCTATTCCCAGATTCTTTTCAAAAATTCCATCCAAAGGTTGTCTGGAAGAAATCACCGCATGTGTTAAGACCGCCCATTGTACTCAAATTACTATTGCAATGTTTACAATTTCTTTTTTGTGTGCGATAGAGTATAAATAAATAAATAAATAACTTTAAATCGGTTTACCAACTTTAAAAAGTTAAAATTAATAATTATTAAGATATCGGAGTAGCAGATAGATTTTAGAATTAAGCCCGACTTCCAGTCGTGTTTTTATTGAAAGTTCGCGTGTTCAGTACCTAAGTAACTATGATTAAACCAGCGTTTTAGTACATCATTAGCACTTAATAAAAACTGTTTGGTTATAGTCAGCTGGCTATTCCAGAGTAGGCACAGTTACCACATCGATATTTCATGTTTGCTACGTGTAATGTAAATCATTATTCATTACACACAGTTTAAAGTTTTTTACTGGCTATGTCAGACTATTTATTACACCTATTTTAGCAAAGAATCAAAAGAATTCGTTATATGCAGCGTGGGAGAACTTTTGGTTAACATTGCCAAAAAAATAGTCCCGCCCGCCCAGAAATATCGGCCATCTCGTACCAACGGACGGTATGCAAAAATTTACAATCCACTCAATAAAAAGTCGTAATTCCTATATATACATATACCGGCTATATCCACATATACGTATACATCTCGGATACGCTTTATACGCGATGTACTCACTGCTATATAAAACCGGGGAGAGAGCCAAATTCTAAATATAAATGTGGCCGAATAGAGCCGAACGCGTCCGAAT